TGACCTACTCCTCTCCAGCTCTGTACTTTTCCCTAGGCTTAGCTTTTATTTCCAGTTGCTGTCCTTGAAATGGCCCCCTTTTTTGGGGGGAAGGCATATAAGAGAACTTGATTTTATTTAAAGTGCTGAAAATATAGTACTTTTTATTCAGGGGTAAAAGGAATCTAATAGGAAAAGCTAAGCTCCCATCCCTACCCCCAATCTCAGTTCCCCTTCCACTGTCACTAATGTTTATTTTTCTTATAAGGTCTATGACGTGGTGGCCATGATGACTGCCATCTGCCCAAAACACACATCCTTCCAATATATAATAGCAGCCTCACTATTAAAAGATCTTTGCCTGTAACTTTAAGAAAAGACCAAGAGACTGTTCTTGCCGGCTAAGCATGGGTCATGTGTCTTGATGTGGGTCACATGCATATCTCTGAACCTCTCACTGTGAATAGAGAGTGGACCCCATCACCCCTTTCTACCTGGACTGTCCTAGGTATTCTGGACTGTTGTGTAGGGGGTAGTCATTCATTCATTTTCTCCTCATTGTTGACCAACACTATATGAAGAAGATTTTTGAGTTATTTTACATAGACATATTGCAAAAAACTTTCAATGAAAAGCATGACTTAGAAGAAGGTTGTGGGTGGTTAAAAAGTAAAAGCAGACATCTGAAAGAGTGTTACTAAGTAAGCCAAAAGGTGAAAGAGATAAGAGGGGAGAGCTGAGGCTATAGTCAGTGGCAGTGGCAGTATGTTCTATTTAAAAAGGAAAGTGATCTGTTGATAGGCAGAAGGTGAAGTAATTGTGGAGGAGCTGCCTTCACTAGTGCTTATACAAGGTTATGCAAATGAACTTTATACCACCACACAGAGGTCAGATGGTAGGAGGGGGTATTATATAAAAAATTCCTATATAATAATGAAAAAAACGTCTTCAGGGCTTATATAGTAGTCTGCTTAGTAAGAATGGAATAGTTTCATAATAAACATATTGACATTTGAGAGTATATTGTCATACAGGTTTACCTGAACTATTTCAGACTGAACAAGAGTGAAGCAGAACAGGTGTGAAGTGATTAAAATTTAATTGAGTTCAGAGAGAGGTGGCAGGTCAGATTGTGATTCTGGTGACAGTACATTCAGCTAAAGGAAAAGAGCTCCAAAGAAAATGTGAAAGTTGATTCTTATCAAATATAGGTATACCTTGGAGACAGTGCTGGCCCAATGCTAGACTACTACAATAAAGTGAATGTTGGAATAAAAGGAGACACGTGACTTTTTTTATTTGTTTCCTGGTGCATATTAAAGTGATATTTACACGATAATATACTAAGAATGCAATAACATTATGTCTTAGAAAAATTATGTAATGCAGATTCCAAGTGAGCACCTGCTTTTGGAAAAATGACATTAATAGACTTGCTGAACACAGGGTTTCCACGAATCTTTAATTTGTACAAAAAACACAGCTGTGAAGCACAGTAAAGCAAAGCACAATAAAACAACATATGCCAATAATGATAATATCCTAAACTCTTAAAGAAATTAAGAGGGAGAGGCAGGCAATATGGGATGGAGACCTGTCAAGAAGTAGTATGGTTGCAGAAGCCTGGAGAATAAAGATGTCATGTTCCAGAAGTATATCACCTTGGAAACAGTACATATTCAGAGACTGCTGGGAAAGATCTGTGCCAAAGCCTCGTATACATACTCTACGTTGAGCTGTGCCCTTTGAGCACAGCCTCTCATTGTATAGTCACCTCCTCTATAGAATGCTGGGGTGAAGAGCAAGGTAGTTGGAGAACAGCCTGTAAAGCAGAAAGGTGGTAATAGCATCACCCCTGTAGTGGCCTAATCTTGAATCAGCTCCATAGACAGGGTCTGTGCACACTCGTCTCCAGATGGAGACTTGTTCATACTGTTCACACACAAAGTCATCAAGGAAGTGTTTCCGAGCCCATACAGAGATGAACATCTCCTTTATTTTTTGCTTTTTATTCTACTAAGCACATTTACATTCACACACTTTGAAAATAAAGAGAAACTATGAGACACGGACAGCCAGCGGTTGTTCCAAATAGGACAACAGGATTAACTGGTAGAATCAAGGACTCTTGGCCTTTTGCTACTTCAGTGGTTCCACAGTTGAGGACATATTATGGGGAAGTAGCTGAGATCTTCCAAGCTGAAATTTTGTAAGTGCTAGAGTTAACTATGAATTTCATCCAGACTGTGAAATAATGACAAACTTTAGTAAATCCTCTCTTAAGATTGTCAGGAGGTTTTTGGGAATTGCCATTTTAAGCAGAAATGTTGATATATAATATTGCTATGTAAACCCCAAGAAAATCCATGAAGACATGCAGAGAACATGCAGACTCCACACAGACAGTTGTTCCAGTGGGGAATCAGTTTTTTTTCTCAACAGAACACAATAATATTGACTAAAACAACATTAGTTAAGCACCTGCTGTAACTACTTGGTCCTGTTCCCTCATCTGCTTTCAATTTGTTCTTTTATGCCCCATCTCCCTATCTCCCTTTTTGTCATCATCCTCCTGACAGCTCACTATCTTCCACCCTCACATAACTATCATCAATTTCCTGGCCTTGGGAGGTCCTGCTAACCTTAGAACCAAGGTATAAGCTGGATTTTCCCTTAATTCTCAGTAACACAGTTAGGACAAAGCTGTAATGTTTAAGTAAGACTCTACAAGGTTTGAGTGGACAAAAAGAAGACTCCCAGCAAGTACATTGTTAAGATGACAAGTTTTTCACACACTTCAGTTTTTATTCTCCTGTAATATCTATCACCCATCTGGCAGAGACAGGCTTCTCCCTCTCTTCCTCTTATTTTGTTCACTCTACTTCATTATGCAATTCATCAATTTTCGCAATAAGGAATAGACTTTTTAATTCTTTTGACATTATAAATAAGGCTGCATTGTCTGTCTCTGTGCTTTTTGTGTATCTGACAATGTTTGAGATTTTCTTTATACCTAAAAGTAAAAGTGCTGTAGGCACCTATTGAATTTACTAGAAGTGACCAAATTGTTCTCCAGAGTTGTTCTGGTTTACATGCTTGCTAACAGTGTTATAGGAGTTATTTCTCTATATCTTGACCAATACTTGGCATTACCTGACTTTAACATTTTTGTTATTCTGGTGTTTGTGAAATTGCATCTCATTGAATTTAATTGGCACTTTCCTGACTACTAATAGAGGTAATATCATCCTCCTCGATTTTCTGTAACAGCGTCCTATTCATTTCTTTCATAGCACTTACCACAAGAACTTATTGTGGGCTGGTTGATTTGTGTTTATTATCTGCTTTCCTGTCTAGAGCACAGTCTCTGTAAGAACAGTGTCTCATCTCTTTTGTTCATTGTGTTATCCCCAGGGCGCAGTCTAGGGTCTGGTAGTAGGGGCTCAATACAATGTTTAATGCATGGACCTAGTGGTGAAGGGGCTCCTCAGTAAGTCTGACATGACTACCAAAAAATGCGCACAAATTTCTTTGTATTCCTCCCATTCAAGCCCTGTATTTTATTTCATGGCCAATTTAGTCTGCTTCTCTCCTACATTTATTTCTTCCCTTTTTTGAACCTTTGAATTGACTTAGATAAGACATAACAGAGAAATAAGATTTAATAAAGAATAGCAGAAATAATGAGTCATTCAAAATATGATCTGTTGAAGCTATCTGGCCCCACCTAGGGGGGGGCTTTGTTTTGAGGTACACTGTTGTTCAGCTAATTTAAGATTGTGCTGTGCTCCACATCTGAAAAGAAATGAAAGTTCCAGTGAGGTTCATTATTAGATGGCACATTAAATTGGAATGAAAGCCCTGTGTCTTTGTTGGGATTTTTATTGACAGTTATTCTTGCCTTATCTACTATAAGATTTTCTGAGATAGGTGCAGATTTCATCAGTAAAAATTTACTAGCATGGTAATTTTTTTTAAATAATATAATAGCTTATTTTTACATCATTTTGTGCTTTTTTCCATCTCAGTTGTAATCCCCATGGGCTTCCCACCACCAATTCACCCAACGCCATCACCATAGCCCAATGCACTCCCCCTAACCCCTGCCATTTTTTATCCCATTCCCCACTCCACCCCTGTAAATTGTCTCTGGTACATAGTTGTTTGTTATTATTATTATTTTCTCCCTGGTTCTTTATATTCCTGCTATGAGTGAAACCATCTGGTATTTTTCCTTTTCTTTCTGGCTTATTTCACTAAGCATGATCCCTTCCAGCTCCATCCATGTTGCTGAAAAGGCATGTGTTTATCTTTGCTCCTTGTCTTCGTTAGGATCCTTTGAGGTGCAGGGAACAAGTCTACAAGCTAAACTAAACCAGAGTAATCCAGGGATGCCTCAGAACTTAAAAGCGTACACAGCTAGAACCAAGACTCTACTTTGAGCTCCCAAGTTTACTTCTATTTTCAAGAGAGGAACTGAGCTGAGGATGGAATCTCTCAATCATAATTCAGGGAAGGGTGCTGATCCAACCCGGACCAGATGCCCACCTAATTCCAGTAAGCTGTCTCCATTAGGTTACTTTCTGTAAGCCTGGCAGCCATGAGCCTTTTCTGATATAGGGCAGCTCCCAGGAAACACATCCATTTGCTAAACATGCATTTAGAGACTTTGAAATCTAAAACTGTTACTCAGCAACTTTTTCATATAGTCTGCTTTCTTAACTTTTCTACCTCCAGTTCTCACCTAACTCCTTACCTAATTTAATGATCTCCTTTCCATTGCCAGTACTTAACAGAACCTTAACTTCCCTCCCTCAAAACAGTGACCTTTGTGGATTCATTTATTCGTTTATCTGGAAGGATTAAGAAAATGGAAATATTCTGTGAACACCTCTTTGGTATGCTTATAGATCAGTGATGTGTCCTTGCCCCAGGTGGAGAGTGAATCAGGTGTTGTGAAACTTCAGCAACCTGAGGAGTCCATTCTGCCTTTGTTGAGACTTTACCTTCTTCTTTTACAGGAACATGACATAGAAACAACTCATGGTATGGTCCACGTCACGATAAGAGGCCTTCCGAAAGGAAACAGACCAGTTATTCTAACTTATCATGACATTGGCCTCAATCGTACGTATTTAATTTTATACCTTCCACTTTTAGCTTAATACTTAATCTTTGTATATTAAAAAAAGAACAAAAAAAGAAACCCTAGGTTTCCAGTAGACCATAGTTTTCTCCTCTCTGCCTTAATCTTCCCTCCTTATTGCTACATATATTAATGGCAGGGCTGCAGTTCCTGAGAAGTATTTTGGGAGATACTAGAATTATATTTCACCTTTTTGTAATATCTGTTAAAGGATGAAGATTATATGACAAACTAGTTAAGAAAACAGTATTAATAAAATCAGCTAGTTTGTTGTTTTTTTTTTTTTTTAAGGCTATACTTTTAAGGATTTTTCATATTTCAGGTTAGAATTTTGTTGTGAATTCTTCAAATTAGTTAATAAAATATCATCAATATTTTGCCATGCCTATCATCAATAGCTTTAAGTGGGTGTTTCCAGATGCTATTGTAAAATTCTGGCAGTAGCCACAGACACATGGAGTCTTCTGTATACATGTGTTTTCTTTTTCTCTCTCTTTTTTTTTTTTTTGCATCTTTAGCATGAATTGACATAAGCAGTTATATTAACAGAGTAGAAATTGAAGAATACTTTCTGCATGCACCCCAGCACTTTGCCAAGAGATAGCTTCCACATGGTGAATATAAACAGCCCAAAATACTGTATCCATGTTTTTGGGGTATAGTCAGTGTCTCTATGGCACATAGGGCAATGAACTGCATGAGAGATGCACCATTATGGGTGCAAGGTTATTTTTTGCATCACTAGGACTGGTTTCAACTTTATATAGACCTTGTATAGAATTTAGAATTAGTTGTCATTTTCAAGTCATTGAGACATCTGGTATTCAGCCTTCAGGGCAGCTTGAATTTGACTGTTTGTGGACAGTGATATGGAATTGACTGAACAGAGGAAAATTGGGGAGCGATGGCAAGTCTGTGACTTAAGAGTATTTTCATTCTTGCAGATAAATCCTGTTTCAATACATTCTTTAACTTTGAGGATATGCAAGAAATTACCCAGCACTTTGCTGTCTGTCATGTGGATGCCCCAGGCCAACAGGAAGGTGCACCCTCATTCCCAACAGGGTAAGGCCACAGGTACAATCTGGATGGCAGGCACTTAGCAGAGCAGATGTCTGAACTGCTATGGGAGAAGTAGTGTGCATTTCCCTTCCTTGCTAGTTGGTTCTAGCACAACCGACAGGTAGATTACACATAACCAGGCATCCCTGTATTTTCTCTCCTGGATCTGAGGGGACTATTCTGTACAACCTGTTGAAGCAAACTGCATGTTTTCCCACCTCCTGGGATAAGTAGGAACCTGCCTACCTTTAATCACACGGCATGAGTGTCTGGAATGGCCACTTATCACTTTTATAGGTTCCCATCGTTAACTATTTAAGATTTGTCATTTTTTTTGTCTCTCCTTAAAACTCAGCCACCTAAGCCCTAACTCAGATCGGATCCCTCTGAGCTGCCTGGTTGCACCTTACCTCCCAGTCTGGTGACAAGAATTTGAAAATCCGTGTCACCATTCATTCTGAGAAGTATTCTGTCAGATAGAGCTGTACTTGAAGCTCTCAGCCTCATTCTAGGCCTGCTTTGCATGGTGTAGCTACCGGCGCCCCAACTGTTTATTATTGAGCAGAGTTTGGAGGAGGTGTGACATCACAAGCTGTGGGACAGTAGTTTTTCCCTTCTCTCTTTACTCATCCTTGGAGCTGCCTTTGCCAGTGATTGCTGTGAAATATATCATTGCAGAAGAAGTCTAGCCGACAGTAGTACGTCACTACTTTAAAGACTAAATTTAATCCTCACAACCCTATAGAATATGTTTGCCATTTTTCCTATTTAACAAGTGAGAAAACTGAGGCCAAGATTAGTTACATAACAGATAAGTAGCAGGGCTGGGGTTTTTTAACCCCAGCAGTCTTGACTCAAGAACCCATGTTACTGACTCTGTCTAAGCTATCTGTCTCTCCTCTCAAATGTCAATTGGCCAGTGACTAGTTTATATCCAACAAGATTTTTTTTTCTACTTTTAATATTTATGTACTAACAAACTTGTACACAAGTGACTCAGAGAACTTCATTGCTTAAGGTGTTCCAGGCAGAGGCAGACTTCCCTGTCAGATGTAGAGCAGATCATGCCTTAAGTACAGGAGGATATCATGAGATCCTTTTCATCTTTGCTTCTGTAACCATAATGGACACATGTTTATATCATGAAACAAATTCAAAAGCAAACAATAAAGCAGCCATGTTATCCTATGCTTAATCAGCATTTATGATGAGCAACCCAGGATTTGTGGTTTGTGCCTAAACCTGCTTGGTTTATTTTTTTATATAGCTGCCTAAATATAAGCAGCCAACCAAAAGCCACCTCCTGAATTGGTACTTACTGCTGGGAATTTACTGAGCCTGGGCCCCAAATTAAAGTGATTGTTAGGGAGTTGGAAATATTCTGAGAGAGAGCCTCATTACCAATTCTTTTCAAATGGCTTCCTCTGGTCTCAGAGGCTGCTTTTCAGGCTATAGAAACATGTAATTCTTTAAACTTCTTAGCATGGTAGTCATAGCATCACACAACATACTGCAATCATTTCCAGGCACCAAATCACCTACCTCCTTTTGAGGCTTTGGTAAAAAGAATGCATTTAGGTACGAACTCTCTACTTTTCTAGCTGTTCTAGTGGAAAATATGGGTGAATTCTAATTCAGGAGCTATCCCTCTGGATTTCAGGTACCAGTATCCCACAATGGATGAGTTGGCTGAAATGCTGCCTTCTGTCCTTACCCACTTAAGGTAGGTTCATTCTGCAGTTCTTTTACATGGCTTTCTTGACTTTCTAGACTTTCTACTGTGTCTGATCTAGAAAAAATGATAGTGAGGAAAACAATAGGCATACATCTTAGTGGGGGAATTAACAAGTATATAAACAGTTACAACTAAAGTCCCAACGAAGAAGAAGGGTATTGTAATGGAGAATAAAGGCAGTATCACACACTAGATAAAGCTAGTTGGGGAATACCTCTCCTAAGGTGTCACCTAGGCTGGGACTGGAGAATGAAAAGGAGATACTCAGACAAAGAGCCATGGCAAGAAGACTCCAGACTGAAGGAATAATATATCCAAAAGGCATGGGGTGAAATTGAAGAAATAGAAAAGAACCATGTTACATAGGTCTAACAGATCAGGTAAGAATTTGAGATTTTCAAAATATGAAGAAAAAAACATTGAAGGATTTTAAGCAGGAAAGTAATATCCAATTTAATCTTTTAAAATGATCACTGTAGGGTCCTTTTTTTTTTTTAAGATTTATTTATTTATGCATACAACAACTGGGGTACAGGCCAGAGGTGTGAGAGGGGTGGTAAGAGGATTCACCAGAGACAGAGTAGGGAGCAGAATAGGCAGATCTTCTGAAATACACTGCTGAAGGAAGCAGCAGATGGGTCGGGAGGGAGGGCCCTAGGATCACTTGTTATGTAAATTGCATGTCAGTGAAGCTATTTAAATGTTTTTAAGATTTTTCTATCTGTGAAGAAAATGCATTGGAAAGGACTAAAAGAGAAAAGACAGAGAGGTCTGTTAGACTACAACAGTCCAGACAAATGATAATGATACCTTGGTACTGGATGCTATATGGAGGAAAGTAGATAGAAATATTTTGGAGGTGATTCTGTATTACTTGCCGGTGGGTTGGTTGGACAGGGAAGTTATAAGAGAGTGAGCTATTAAGGTAACTCCCAGATTTTAGTCATATTTCATTTAACCCTTAAAAATCAACTTAGAAGTAGGTCCCTCCCTGGTGGCACAGGGGGTTAAAGCCCAGCACTATGAAGCTATCCTCAGTCATTGCAGCATGAGTTCAATCCTCAGTCAGAGAGCTGACCCACATGGTACAGCAGACTGTTCCTGTGTATTTCAGTCAGTCCACCTGTTCTGTTCCCTACTCTGTCTCTGGTGAATCCTTTTACCTCCCACACCTCTTGTTCCCCAGTTCTTGTATACATAAATAAATCTTTTTTTAAAAAATCAACTTAGGGCCCTCCCTAAAGCACAGCATCGCAAGCTAGCTGCAGCTGCTTTAGTGTAGGTTTAATCCCCGGCCCCGGAGGTGACCCACATGGTGCAGCAGACCTCTCCTATCTCACCCCCGACTCCCCTCAGCAGTGTATTTTGTCATCTGCCTGTTCGGCTCCCCATTCTGTCTCTGGTGAATTCTCTCATGGGCGCCCCTGCACCTCTGGCCTGTACCCCAGTTCTGTATGCATAAATAAATAAATCTTTTTAAAAAATAAAAAATCAACTGTCATATTTTGTTCTATAGGTGGGAAACTGAGGCTTACAAAGTTAAAGTAACTTGACCAATTTCTACATTTAGTAGGTATCAAAGCCAGAATTTGAACACAGTTGTATTTTTTCCATTATGCCACTCTACCTCCAAATGAGTTAACCCTGTTAATGTTGCTATGTCCCTCTCACAGTCTGAAAAGCATCATTGGGGTTGGAGTTGGAGCCGGAGCTTATATCCTCAGCAGATTTGCAGTAAGTATGTGGAGGATTAGTCTTGACAACCTTGAGGCTCTACCTCGTCACAGCACTTACTGTTTTCAGTGACACAAGTACTGTCTTGTGTCTTATGTCAGTTTTTCTTATAAGAAGATTGCTATTTACTTACATTGTATCATTAACAGCAAAAAAAGAAAGCATAAAGGTTGTCATAGGCATAAAAAAGGACTGAGAGAAAATATACCGAAATATTTGCAAGGATTGATGTTGTATGCCAAAATAATAAAAGAGATTTTTATTTTCTGCTTTTTATACTTCTCTGTTAGTCAGATTTTCTAACAGTCAGCATAATCAGTGGGGAGAAAGTAAGCTAGAGTTTTGAATTTACCAAGAAACTCAAACTCATATTGATATTTATTTAAGAAATTTTCCAAATGCCTCCTGGGTGATAGAATTGTCCTCTGGGGTTCGTATCACCTATTCATGTGGTTTCAGAGAAAACTCAGAAACCCCCACTAGGAACAAAAGTGTATGTGTGAAATAGCAAGTCTAAACTTCAGCAACTTCTTATGCCAAGTGTACTTCCCCCCAGGGCAGACTCAGGCAACATGATTCAAATAGCTGCAGAGATACAGGTGCCTTCCCCCATAGGTCTTTACAAGGTGAGATACTTCGATAGCAGTTTAAGAAACTGGTTTTCTAGTCAGATTTATAGTGCTATTTTTAAAAACTATCTCCCTTAGCACCTCTCTCAAGTCTTGCATTCAAATCCGAAGCCTAAAGGCATAGTAAGAATTAATTAACCATGCTCTGGTTTTGTTAGGCAAAACATATGAGTGGAACTTGCATGCTATTGTCTTTGTCTCATATTTCAGCTCAATCATCCAGAGCTTGTGGAAGGCCTCGTGCTCATTAACGTAGACCCTTGTGCTAAGGGCTGGATTGACTGGGCAGCCTCCAAAGTAAGTGCCAGATAGTGTCTGTGGGCTCATCTTGTTTCTTCTCAAAATGGCTTATCTGTTTTATTTATGTTTATATATATATTTTTGATAGATAAAGTTAAGAACAAGAAGGTAAGTATACAGTTTAATGAATGTTTATATATTAAATCACCACCCAATCAATTTACAGACTATTTCCAGCTCTAAGAATTCCCATTGTGCCTTTTCCATAATTAATATTTCCTCTCCATCCTGGAAATAATCCCAGAAATAATTAATATTTATTTCTTCTCCATCCCAGAAATTATCTTCTTTCCTCATAGGTTGGTTTTATCTATTCTTAAATATCATATAAAAGAATGTTGGGATAAAAGAATGTTCTTTTGCATCTAGCTTTTTTCAGTTAACATTGTATGTCTCAGTCATGTTGTATGTAGCAGTGGCCCTTTTAAATTGCTGTTTAGGGCCTCCCTGGTGGCGCAAGGGGTTAAATCTCATCACTGTGAAGCTGTCAACAGCCGCTGGGGTTCCATCCAAGAGAGGGAGCTGACCCACATGGTGCAGCAGACCTCTTCTGTCTTACCCCCTGCTCTCCTCAGCAGTATATTCCAGTCAGTTTGCAGTTCTGTTCTCTCTTCTATCTCTGGTGAATCCTCTCCCCCTACGCCTCTGGCCTGTGCCCCAGTTCTTGTATGCATAAATGAATAAATCTTTTTTAAAAAGGTATTTTTTAATCTGAAAAATGAAAGAATCTGCTATTTAGATAGAAGAGTATCTAAAGTCTTTTCAAAAAGATAGGAAACTGTAAGGATCTGCTGGTGATTTCACAAATATAGATAATCCCAGCAACAATCTGAGTGAAAAGAGTGAACAAGAGGGAAAGCATTTTATTATATCCTATTTGCATTGAACTCACCATGCTAAAAATAAAAATTGACTTTCTAGGTTGGAAAGGAAGCAATTTTGAAATATTTTCTTTGCTGAAATTATAGGTGTTATTGTGTAATCTGAAAATAACAATTTTATATATAACACTTTTATATATAATACTTTTATATATAACATTAATGATGTTATGAAATTTTTCAGAGAGAAAAATAAGCTCTTATTGCTTACTAAAAGGTGCCTAATATGATCATTTCATTTAAAAAATAGATACCAACTTAAAAATACTTTTAAGCTACCAGAGATGATCATTCTAATACACTATTGGAGATTTCTCTACCACCCAACTTGTGTATCAAAATCTTTATTGATACTTCACCATGATATCCAGTATCTAAGGATGTAGGTGAATGATACTTACAATGAAGATTTAAAATAGAAGGACAATAACGCCTATGTAGTACTGCCTATACTATATTATTATCCTTGAAAAGGGATTTTTTTTTTCTGATTTATTTCTTACTCTCATGTCTCTTGAAACCACCATCTCATGAAATTGTGTGACACTGAGCTATGTTTTTCTTGAAGGACCGCATATACAATGTATATTCACATACCATCATATTTGGACAACTTGATAAGCATATGTGCTTACTCCTTTGACACAGAATTTTTCTCTTTTCAGCTCTCAGGCTTGACAACTAATGTTGTGGACATTATTTTGGCTCATCACTTTGGACAGGTAAATGCTGTATTTACTGATTTGTAAGCAAAGCCTTCTTTACCTTGGGACAGAAGGGGCTTCTCAGAACAGGCAACATTTTGGGTGCTATAAAAGATGCATGTGGCCTAGCAAAGGCCAACCTTAAGGGAAAGAAATGCCACACGGCTCTTGGGATTTGGAGAGTTGAGACAAGACAGTGTTTGTCTCCCTTCCCCCACATGTTCCCATAAGCAGCATGCCATCTGTTAATGTTTGACAACATCACGTGCCTCACCAGACGTCTTTAGAGCCGGAATGAGGTCTGGGAAAGGCTTCACAAAAATAGAAATTTCAGAGGTAAGAAAAGAAACCATGAAATGTTAGTACTCAGAGAAGCTTAGAAATTTAAAAAATAGCTTAAAAATTAGCTCATTCAACCCTTATGTTTTACCAATAAAGAAATTGAAATCTACACTGTAGAAATGACAGTTATGTATGTTGGTTGGGAGTTAAATGATAATGATTCTAACACCAATATAGTGTGTTTTGTTTTTTTTTCCCCACACCCCCATGCAATTGTCAGCTGGATGTGCTGTACTTTAACTCAACCCTGACTCTGTCTACCTAGAAATAGCATCATACCCCATAAGTTGAGTAAGGACTCAGTCCTAGAAGCCACATACACCTCACCTCCTTACCAGTCACCCCTGTACACACATTTCTAATGTACCACTTGTAGCCTCGGTTGTCACGGATGCTTCTGCCCACTTGCTACAGATTAGAGGTTCCATCCTCCTTGGATTTTTTTTTTTTTTAAAGATTTATTTATTTATTCATACAGAACTGGGGTACAGGCCAGAGGCTCAGGGGCGGTGAGAGGCTTCACCAGAGACAGAGTGGGGAGCAGAACAGGCAGATCGATGAAGTACACTGCTGAGGGAAGCAGCGGGCGGGTCAGGAGAGGTCTGGCTCGCCATGTGGTCTCCTCCGGGGCAGGCGGGAATCGAACTCATGCGGAAGTGGCTTCAGATTCTTAGTGCTGTGCTTTAACCCGCTGCGCCACCAGGGAGGGCCCCTCCTTGGATTTTTATTGATTTGCTAGAGCAGTTCACAAAACTCAAAAACATTTATGTACTAGATTGCCAGTTTATTATAAAAGGATATAACTTGGGCATACCAGAGGGGTCAACTGCAGTGACAGTGGCAGGAAGACACTCCAGGTCCAGGTGCTGGTCTTTTTTTTTTTTTTTTTTGCATGGAAGTCTAATCTGGTGACATTCATCACAGCAGCATTAAGTCATCTTTTTCCATCCTTTGAGATATATGTACAGGGTCCTGTAAGGAGACAGAAACCACACAATTTGAGCAAAGAAAAAAAAATTTAACATCATTTTGTGCCTTTTTCCATCTTAGTTGCAATCCCCATGGACTTCCCATCACTAGTTCACCCTTGTGCCATCACCACAGTCCCGTGCACTCCCCACCACACACATTTTTTATCCCATTCCCCACTCCACCCCATAAAATGTCTCTGGAATATAGTTGTTCATTATTATCCCCACACACACCCCTCCCCAGTCTTTTATGCTCTGCCATGAATGAAACCATCCAGTATTTTTTTTTTCTTTCTGGCTTATTTCACTAAGCGTGATCCCTTCCAGCTCCATCCATGTTGCTGCAAAAGGCATGAGTTTTTCTTTTTTGTTTGCTGAGTAATATTCTATGGTGTATATATACCACATCTTTTTAATCCAGTCATCTACTTTTAGGCATTTGGGTTGATTCCATGTCTTTTCTATTGTAAATAAAGCAGCATTAAATATGGGAGTGCAGGTGTCTTTCTGAATCAGTGTTTTTGTGTCTTTTGGGTAGATACCTAGGAGTGGGATTGCTGGGTCATATGGAAGTCCCATTTTTAGCAGTTTGAGAAACCTCCAGAGAGTTTTCCGTAGTGGTTGTACTAGTTTGCATTCCCACCAGCAGTGCAGGAGAGTTCCTTTTCCTCCACATGCTCGCCAACATTTGTTGTTGCTAGTTGTTTGAAGATGTGCCATTCTCACTGGGGTGAGGTGGTATCTCATTGTGTTTTTAATTTGCATCTCCTTTATTACAAGTAATGTTGAATATTTTTTCATATGCTTGTTGGTGGTCCCTCAAGAAGTGGTTAATATTTCAAAGGAATAAAAGAAAACTTTAAGGGGTCCAAATGCCTATTACTCCTAGGTTGAGGGTGCTAAGGACGTAGCTGAGACCTCATCACTAAGATTGAAAGTCGGGCATGGTTTCCACAGATAAAGTAGCCTGTCAGTCGAGGCTTGATAGAGGTGAGGGTTCTAACAAGTCAGTAGAAGCCGCTCATCAGATGGGGGAGACTGTTACTAAAATAAGGGCTGAGCTGCTGCAGAAGTTGCAGTTGAATGAGGAAAGCCTGGACCCAGGAGGCAACTGCAGTTGGTCCTTTGAGGGTTCCTGACATCTGAGCCTCTGGCAAGGAGAAATGTTTGTGCAAGGTGACTCTGGTATTACTAAGAACGGTAGGTATGAGGCTGAGAAGCTATTAGTTGATAACCGACACAGGTGCTTTTTCAAATGTCTGTTGATCCCTGGCTGGCTGTCCATGTTTAATAGGGGTGGATCACTGAAAGCCTGTGTGCATCAGGTGAGGCTTATCTCTGTGGGCATCAGGCTAGGCTGTTTCCTTGGGGAAACCCTAATGTCACCTAATGTCAGCAGCTTTAGGTCTTTGCAGGCTACTGGTTAGATTTACCAGATAAGCATTGAGGTTACACCTCCAACTCTAACGTTAGTATCTTGGATTCAAGAACAGAAAAGAACAAGAACCTCACCATTAACTTTGAAGTTTCACGTAACACTCCCCTCTTTTCATTATAGTATATCCGCCGCCACCTGGGCCTGTGGCCCGATCAAAACCTTGAATTTTATCATTTCTGGAGAATAAACCCTCAGTCTTTTTTCTGATGCAGAACCCACAGGCATCTAGACTTCTGACTTCTTAAGCTTGTTTCCCTTTAGGCCATCAATTTAATTAATTAGAATAATAGTCATTCTTGGTTCATGATAAACCCTTAACTTGGTCTATGCCCAGTCTACTTTTATTTGGTTGATTACCTATTCATTTGTAATAATGTAGTAAACACCCAAGAAATTGCCACCCAAAAGAACAAGGTGAAGAAAAAATGATGAAAATAACCTGCATTTAACCAAATGGTCCTGAATTAATCCACCTGCATTTCCCCTTCCCTGAGGAAATCATATTTTGTTTGTCAGTTCTGTTTTCCTTGTGACAGTATAACTGCACTGATATATACTGTTGAAATTATATACATATTCTAACTCTAAAAGGATATTATGCTAATGTAATGTGGTCACTGTTTTTACTTAAAATTAATCAGATTTTCCAAATTGTTACTGAATAACTAAACAGCTTTCGGTTGTACTTGCCTATAAGTCTGTGTTGGGTATATGTTTAGGAGTGGAATTGCTGGGTTTTACTGTTCCCTTCTTTTTATTAGCTTTTTTGAGATAAAGAATTATATATCATTTAATGGACATTTTGGTTAATGACAGACTGCATATATGACAGTGGTCCTAACAGTCTTTACCTTATGACCTGGGTATGTAGTAGACTGTATACCATCTAGGTTTGTATATTTACATTCTCTGATGTTCATTCAGTGACAGAATCACCTAAACTATTTCTCAGAGAATATACCCATCATTAAACGACACCTGACTGAATCATATAAAATTATACCTTAAGGTATATCGTTCAGTGCATTTTAGTATATTTACTGAATTGTGCCACCATCACATAATCCCAGAACATTTTCATCACTCCAAAAGTAAACACTATATTCCGTAAGTCACTGCCCACAGCAACTACAGCATGAGTTCAGGCCCCAGCTATGGCGCTAACCTACATGGCACAGCAGACATCGCTCACCCACTGCTCCCCTTAGCTGTGATTTTCAGTAGATCCACATGTTCTGCTCCCCACTGTATCTCTGGTGAATCTTCTCACACCCTGCACCTCTGGCCTACATACCAGTTCTTCTACACAAAAATAAGTAAATAAATACACAAATTTATGGCTATTAAGAGAAATGTTATATTCCATTTATTTCACCCTTTACAGTTCATAATATGACTTAGTGTTTTGCCTTATCCTTTCCCAACTTCCAACCATTGTATTTTTTTTATTGTGTACATATACACATATATACATTCATTTGATCTTTTAAACTGCTCTGACAGGTAAATGGTTTTTCTCTTTTACAGACTCTCTCTCTATATATATTTACAGACTCTCTCTCTATATATATTTTTTTCTTTAATGAAAAATGGCAGATCCTGAAAAAACAAAAATATGGAAAGTAGAGTTCTGAATGATATGGTGAACTTTTCTAAGTTCCACAGCTGGTACTAGAATCCCAGTATAGTTCATTTTCTATTTTACCTCAGTATGGCAAGTAAGGACATGCAGAATATATCTCAGGGTTTTACACTTGATCTGGAGTTGATTATCAACCCTAGATGATTCTTTGGTGCCCTCATCTAGCATAATATATGACACTGAACCAGTCTGATGCAAATAAAAAAGATTTTGGCCATTCAGCACCCCCAGTACTAAAGTAGGCCCCAGACTCTACACTGTTCCTGTCAGGGCAGGGGGATTGAGATTGTAAACCAAACAAGATAGACCTGTACTGTAGCTCAGAAGTTTACCTGTGTCTTCTTTCAATTGTTCTAGGAAGAGTTGCAGGCCAACCTGGACCTGATTCAAACCTACAGGCTGCATATTGCCCAAGATATCAACCAAGAAAACCTTCAGCTCTTCCTGGGTTCCTATAATGGGTAAAGTTATCTCTTATCCCCTCACTTAAGTGAAGACTACTTCTAAAAAAGATAATGGAAATTTAAGAGAGAAGAGAAAGGGAAACAAACTACTTCATATATTGTGTGTGTGGTGGGATTGCTTTTGTGCTGCTTTACCATGGAAGAGGAAGGACTCACAAATAGATAGGAAAATGGCTTTCAAGAATGAATGAAGACCATCTGGACATGTTCAAATACAAGTTGTAGTTTTAAGATGAAATCACAGAGGTAATTTGAGGTAGCACAGGAAAAGTGTATGTAAGGGAGGCAGAGAAAGTTTGGACCTTGATTCACTTTGTCTTTTCTGACATCTTGCCATCAGGCAGAAGTAACCCATGGGCATTAGTGAATTATCATTTGTTTGGGTTTTCCAAACTGTCCTATCTCCCTCAGTCACTGAGAGAATGATTCTTATCTTGAAACCAGGTTATATAAGGTAAAATTGTTATCTAAACCATGCTAATTATGAAGAAAACATTTCCCCCAAACAGTTCCCTTTTCTTAAGGAATTGATTTCTTTAAGCTAGTTGGAATATTAAACTTAGGACTTGTGAATTTCAATAGCCTTGTGAAATTTGAAGCCTCTTCCTTTTAAAATCATTAGAGTCCCTCAGAGTTGAGCAAGGGCACAGGGCACTTCCTCATCAGATATGAAGGAAAGACAGTTATCACATTCCTTGATATATTTTAGTTCTCACCACCAATTCTAAGTTGTTGTGATTTTAATTGAAATGAGCATTGTTTCCTTTTCCTCTAGACGCAGAGACTTGGAGATTGAAAGACCAATTCTGGGCCAAAATGATAACAGGTCAAAGACATTAAAGTAAGTCCCTGAGTTTCGTAAGTTGCCAATTATCTTTGCCTTTATTAGAGGAATTCAGTGTCCAGGGGATTGAGTATCTGCACTGCTTACTCAATGTCACCTCTTATCTTTGTTTTCCCCCAGGTGTTCTACTTTATTGGTGGTTGGGGACAATTCACCTGCAGTTGAATCTGTGGTAAGTCCTGATATAAAAAAGAATGACATTAAAATACAGTAAAATATATATAGCATGGAGCTAGTTAGTGAACTAGAAATAGTTGGTAAATGCTAGTTTGAGTGATTTTTTTTTTCCAATTATGCATATAAGGGTTTGCTTTTGTTACACACCATTTTGGAAAATGAAATCCACATCTCATCAATCACTAGGTTTTATCAGGAAGGATCAGTGTTGTCCTTGATTGGTTTGTGTGATGTAGCTCACTTTGTGGCAAGTAGTACAATTTAAACACTATTTGCCACACTAAGCAGACTTTAACAGTTGTCAGCCTCAGCCTGCTGCAGCCACCATAAATCTGGAGCAAGTTGGATGGCTGCTGAGAACCCACATTGTTTTCTCTACCTCCTTTCAAATATGCAGTACATTACTAAAAAGGGAGAAATGAAAAAAAAAATCAGAAAATAGAAGGACATGGGAAAATATCATGGTCCCAGTACTCCAAGATAACAGATTGGATTGTATTAACTATATCACAGTTTTGGGACCTGACTATATACCAGTGTTAATAGTATATATCTTTATACTATTCAATCTTATAAATACAACTTTGTTTATTTAACATTATTCTTATATTGATTTTTTTTTTTCTGATTTGCAGTAGGATGTTGTTGTTGAACAACCTTATAAAATCTTTGCTTGAATCTTTGATCATTACCTCATTACCCTGGGTAGAATTTCCAGAAGTAGAAGTAACATGTTAAAAATCATAAACTTTTGTGAGGTTTTTGATATTTTTCTTTGCCAGATTCCATTCCAAAAAAGAATATACCAGTATGTTGCCATCAGCAATGTATGAGAATGCCTTTCACAGAACCCTGTCCAGCATTAGTTTTTTAAGTTTTTGGTTTTTGAAGATTTATTTACTTATGCATACATAACTGGGGTACAGGCCAGAGGTGCAGGAGTGGTGAGCAGATTCACCAGAGACAGAGTAGGGAGCAGAACAGGCAGATCAAGGAGGTATACTATTGAGGGGAGCAGTGAGCGGGTCAGGAGAGTTCTGCCACATCATGTGGATAAGTTCCCTGGCCTGATCAAGCTCAAGGTGAACTCAAGGTGAAGCCGCTGCTGCAGTTAGCGTCAGGGTTCTGCGCTTTAACCAATTGTACCACCAGGGAGGGCCCTGGATTTTTAAGTTTTATTAGAAGTTAATAAGTTAAAAATGGTATCCCAGGCCATCCCTGGTGGCGCAGCAAGTTAAAGCACAGCACTTAGAAGCTAAAGCCACTTCCGCATGAGTTCGATCCCCGCCTGCCCCGGAGGTGACCCACATGGTGTGGCAGACCTCTCCTGGCCCGCTGCTCCCCTCAGCAGTGTACTTCGTTGATCTGCCTGTCCTGCTCCCCACTCTGTCTCTGGTGTAGCCTCTTGCCACCCCTGAGCTTCTGGCCTGTTCCCCAGTTCTGTATGCAAATAAATAAATCTTCTTTAAAAAAAAATGATATCCCAAAACTATAATTTGTACTTCTTTGATTACAAATGAAGTTGACAGTTTTTCTTTTCCCTTCACCTAACTACCCTTGCCTGTACCCCATCTGCTTCTCTCCCCATTGGCTCCACCCTTTTTCCTATTCCCATTGGTAACCATTATCTTTTAGCTGAGTTCACATTTTAATTTTTTTCTGTTGTTTGCATGTAATTTATATTCTGTATAAGAGTGACACTTTCACTTTCTGACAGATTTCACTCAACATAATCACTTCAACATTCATCCATTGGTCCCAAATGTCACAAGTTAACAGTTTTTCATGTCTATTAGCATTTGCTTGTCTTCCCCATAGCACACATAGTTTAACTTGGTATCTCTAAAATAATGTGGTTTCCTTGGCTGGGCCTGCTAAGGCCATCAGGCCTGCTAAGGAGCAAAACCTAAGGGAGTAAGGCTTTTTGGAAAGGGATACCAATTCTTGATGTGTGCTGGTTTTTTCCCACCATTAAGTGGTTAACTCAGTTTGATTCTGACACCATCCACTTGGAAATAGCTTCAGATCTCACAAGTCAAGGGCTTAATCCCTGGTCACTACCACCCACAGGAGCCTGTGCTTCTGATCGATGATAGGTAAGATGTTCCAGCAGTCCTCTCTTTGGGTTTGATTAATTTCCCACAGAACTTTGAGAAACATTTTAGTAAATCACTGGTTATTATAAAAGGATGTAACTTAGGAATAGCTAGATGAAAGTGATGCGTACAGGACAAGATAGGGGAAAGGGTGCGGAGTTCCCATGCGCTCTCCTCCAGTTGCACCACTCTCCCTGCCCCTCCGTAAGTCCATCAAACCAGCTCTCTGACCCTGTCTTTCTGTGAGGGCTCTGTGTCACTTCAGGGTTCACCTTTTGGGGTTTTGTGGGGGCTTCATTTACAAGTATGATTAATTAAATCATTGGACATTGGTAATTGAACCCATTACCAGCCCCTCTTCCCACAGGCCAGGGTGTTGGACTGAAAGATCCAATCTCTAATCAAGTGTTTGGATCCCCTGGCAGCCTTCCTACCTCCTTAGGTTACCTAGGGTTGTTCCAAAAGTGGCTTTCTTAACATAACAGAAGACCATTTTAACTCTCTGCTTTGGAAATTCCTAGGGTTTTAGGAGCTCTGTGCCAAGAATGGTAATTAAGATCAAATGTTATATTTCTTTTTATAAATCACTATAAGAGTCTAATAAGTTATCAGAGGTATAGACATAGGTGAAAAAGTTTGTGGGGCAGGAAGAGTGTTGTAGGGTGAGACAGATATAGAGGATAATATATTCAACACTTTCCTGAATTGCCTTATAAAATATTCTGTGTCTGATGTAAAATACATGTGCAGATTAACACAGAGGCAAATAACCCTCAAATTTAAAAAACAAATACCTGAAGGGTAGTTAAGTTCAGTTTATGATCCCGATTCACTAAGAAACCTTCCATGGCTTCCTGTACGTCGCAGTCAGCTCCTGCCTTCCCAGCCTCACCGTGAAGTGTACCCTCACACCATGTTTGCCACTCTAACCCCATGTGCCCTCACATTCACTTCACATCCCTTAGGTCTTTGCTTTTGCTTTCCCCTGACTCTGGAAGCCTTCAAACGCCCACCCCTTTTTCTTACTGTATTTGGAGAAATCTTACTCATCCTTCCATACTCAGCTCAGTTGTAAAATATTTAAGTAATTTCACTCTGCCTTCTATTATTTTTTCTTGCAAGATTCCAAACTCAGCAGTCTTTCTTGGCAAGCATGTGTAAAAGGGAAGATCCTGTTGATCACATTAGCCATAAAAATATTACTGAATTCCAAAGCATTTTCTTTGAAATCTCTGTCATTTCATGTATTCAAGAATACAAGACCCCCGAAATATAAATATACAAAATTGTTATTCTTAGTCGTGATGACTGCTGTGAGAGAAAATCATAGAGTGGTACAACTTTATATGGGCTAGTCAAAGACCTTGTGGAAGAAAAGAGGCAGTATGTGAGGAATAGCAAAACCATTACTGCCAGGGCATAGGAGAGGAGTGAGAAACGGGCATAGGGTGGCATCTTTGGGGCAGTTGTACTGTGAGACCATCAAGGGACTCTAGTAGGAGAGGAACATGATTTAGTTCACTTTAAAGATGTGAGTAACTTGCCCCATGTAGCCAGTAGGAGGAACTAGATTCAAGTTGTTTTTTGAAGACTCTACTATAACAGATTCAGAAGATGAAATAGCCAGATATTTAGATCTACTAGGAAATATCAGATATAAAGTACATTCTGTCTTCCATTTTGTATTTTGATAATTTTTTGAGCTGGTTTACCCATTTCCAGATTGAACTGTCCATTTTGGAAGGTCATCTCAAGCCAAGCTAATGTTTATTTTTCTAGAAGTTTATAAAATTGCTTTCTCTCTCTATCTCTCTTTTTTAGGTTGAATGTAATTCTCGCCTGAACCCTATAAATACAACTTTGCTAAAGGTAATAACGCGTCTTCTTTCCTCACTGCCAACCCTTTGTGAATAACTTATACGTGGTTCAAATTACTGTTCTGAACTAGTCGCTCAGAAAGAAGGAAAGTTTTTCTCTCTTTTAATTTTTTTTAACTGAATATATCCTTATTGGAAAATAGCAAATAGTAGAAAGAATAAAATAAATAAAACTATCCATAGTCCAACCACCAAAAAGTTAACACCCTATGATAAAAATAATGTTTTTTTTTCCTATACATTTTTACATCATTAAGATCAGAGGTATTTACAGCCTTTATGTATTTTCCTCAGTAAGCATGTTCCTATATCATTGAAAACTTAAGCATTATGTTAGGTGTTGTGAGAATTATGATAGTGGAAATTCTTTACATTCTATAAATCCATTATATTGGTAAGAAAATCTCCAGTAACATTCTAATGAGTGTGGATGCAATTTTTCTTATCGAAAATAGAGATCAGGGCCCTCCTTGGTGTTGCAGCGGGTTGAAGCACACCACTGTGAAGCTGTCCCCAGCCACAGCAGCACGAGTTTGATCCCCAGCAAGGAGGTGACCACATGGCATGGCAGGCCTCTCCTGTCCCACATGCTGCTCCCCTCAGCAGTGTATTTCACTCGATCTGCCTGTTTTGCCCCCCATTCCATCTCTGGTGAATCCTCTCACCCCCTGCCTCTGGCCTGTACCCCTCTTGCCTGTACCCCTCTGGCCTGTACCCCAGTTCTTGTATGTATAAATAAATAAAACTCTTTAAAAAATAGAGATCAACTCTTCTGCTGAATTTCTAGGTTTCTGTCATGTTTCTCCCTCTTTTGATTGAACCCCAGGCAAGATTTCCTAGCTTTTTTAGAGCCTCTACTGAAATATTTGGGCACCTGACCTAGTTTGAACTACTATACATTTAAATGCTTTAAGTCTTCTGTCCTTATTGTTACTTTTTCAACCTGAAAGATCTCTACTTTGTTTCCTTTCTCTTTGAACTGTGCTGAAAGGGAAATACTGTCACCATAAGCAGCTCATAGTTCCTGGAAATATAGCATGAGATTAATGCTTTGAGGTTATATAATCCAAGTGATTGATGAACTAAATCTAAAAATATGAATACTCCTTTTAAGTATGTGGTTTCAAATTAGTTTTTTATTGCAGGCTTGAATCAATATTCCAAAAGCACAAAACTCTCTAGTAGCCATAGACGAGATCAGAAATGTCCATCTACAAGAGCATGATTGAATTGATTCTAACCTATTTGATAGATATCCAGCTTGAAAATAGTCTTGTAATATTCTGTCTCTGAATATGGGAAATATTTTATGTTTCTATAAGGTTTTAACTTTTATTTATTTTTTAAAAGATTTTATTTTTATTTATTTATATGCACAAGAACTGGGATGAAGGCCAGAGTTACAGGAGTGAAAGGGTTCACCAGAGCCAGAATAGGAAACAGAACAGGCATAGATCTACTGAAATATGCTAAAGGGAGCAGTGGGCAAGACAGGAGAGGTCTGCTACGCCATGTGGGTCAGCTCCCTGGTCAGGATCGAATTCATGTTGCAGTGGCTGGTGATAACTTGATAGCGCTGAGACTTTAACCCCTGTACCACCAGGGAGGCCCAGAGATTCTGATTTTTAAATGATTTTTTATTTTTAAATCATTAAATGTTTTTTTCCTGATCTTATGCTTAAAATTTTCAGGGTACTGTATCTTGTTAAGTTCAGACTCCTATGCCTTCTGTAGCATTCCAGTCTACCCTAAAGACAGTTTTCATAATAGTGACTAGAAACCATAGGTCCATAGCTCCTTTAAAAAAAAAAAAGACAGGCCCTCCCTGGTGGCACAGCGGGTTAAAGCACAGTACTAAGAAGCTTAAGCCACTTCCACATGTTCGATCCCCGCCTGCCCCGGAGGTGACCACATGGTATGGCAGACCTCTCCTGACCCGCCCGCTGCTCCCCTCAGCAGTGTACTTCGTTGATTTGACTGTTCTGCTCTCCACTCTGTCTCTGGTGAATCCTCTCACCCTCCGCATCTCTGGCCTGTACCACAGTTCTGTATGAATAAATAAATAAATCTTTAAAAAAATCTTATAAATTAAAAAAAAAAAAAAAGACAGCCACCCTGATAGGGTGCTGTCTGAACACAAAATATGCAGCAGCTGGAAGGAAGGAAGAGGATGGGCTCTTTATTGGCTATCAGATTTGTCTCCCTGGAGCTTGTTAGAATTACAAGTTCTTGAGCCCTACCCCAAACCTATTAAATCAGAATGTCTAGAGCAGGAACTCAAGAGTGAGTTTAAAAAACCCTCTAGATGTTTCCAATGCATGCTAACAAAAACCCTACTCTAGAAATCTTTCATAGATGAGAATAACCAACATTAAAGATTTGTGAAGTGAGAAACAATTGCATCACTGCAACAGTTTAATTCAGCGTCATTACCTGATTGAGAAATCTCTTTAGTCCTGGAGTGATGATAATATTTAAAAAGGAGGGCCCTCCCTGGTGGCGCAGCAGGTTGGAGCACAGCACTGTGAAGCTGCCCACAGCCACTGCAGCACAAGTTAGATTTCCGGTCAAGGAGGTGACTCACATGGTGCAGCAGACCTCTCCTGACCTGCCCGCAGCTCCCCTCAGCAGCGTCAATCTTCTTGTTTTGCACCCCACTCTGGCTCTGGTGAATCCTCTCATTCCCCTGCACCTGTGGTCTGTACCCCAGTTCTTGTATGCATAAATAAATAAATCTTAAGATAAAAAAGATTTTAAAAGGAATTTAGAAAACCTGTACTCTAAGAAGCCTGTACTCTAAGAAGTTAGGATCACAGTGTTTGAGGATTCTGAAAGTAACATTTTTCAGGTAGAGGCAGAACTGTGTTGAAGGTAGTCATTAACTTCACTATCAACCCTAACAAAACTACCTTGGGCCTGAAAGTAAGAGCGTACATCTTACTGATTAATGCGTGCTGAGCAACCTTTTCAAGTTTATGTCCAAGGTTAGTATCAGTCTTGAGTCTTTATATAAGAGTGCATTGAGGAGAAATACATTTGGGTGCAGTTAAACATGAATTTAAAAATCCTGTCCTATTTGGTAAGACTTAACGGACGTTCCGAACATTTCTCTTAAATATAATCATAACTGACTTAAATATTTTTCCTTCTAGATGGCAGACTGTGGTGGACTGCCCCAAGTAGTTCAGGTAATGAGATTTTTTTTTTTAAAGTATACACTTGATTTTCTCTCTCTGCCTGGGCAAAGATTAATGCCTTCTTATTTTGTCCCCCTAGCCTGGGAAGCTCACCGAGGCCTTCAAGTACTTTTTGCAGGGCATGGGCTACAGTGAGTAATAACACAATTTTTCTCTTTTCAAAGATTTATTGATGGTTGGTTTTTTTTTTTTTTTTTTTACATCTAGGGAGCCCACAATTCTCAGAATAACATCTGTACCAACCAGCCTTCAGTAGAAACAAAAACATTGATGGCGTTTTTGTGAGCCCATATATGTTAACACTTAACTTGTGCTAGGCACTCTCTTTATAACCATGAGGGGTAAGTTTTGTTATTAGTCCCATTTTATAAAAGGAATCTGAGGCTCAAAGAGGCACAGGATAACAAGAGCCCTGATAAACCCTGGCATATGACTCGAGAGCCCGTATTTTCAACCCCTGAAGTGTAGGCTGCCCTACTTTTGAATCTGAAATTATGATTTGCATTTAAACTCAGCTGGCTAATGATTACTGGCCTAGAGAAATGTAGTGGTAACTCTAGAAGAAAAAAGTTTGTGGCCTCAGGTAAATCCATTCTAGACAGGCAGTGATCTTACAGAGTATTTTAGAATGAATCTAAGGATATGTCTTTATTATGTGCTGCTGTCCTGGTCCCTTGTGTCGTGAGACCCCCAAGCTTTCTCATTTGTATAGAATATCTGTAGATGTTCCATTCTTGGAGTTTGGAAGAAGAAAAACCCTCTTACCCAGGTACAGAGCTCTTTACCCAATAAGGTGACTTTTCTCCCGTCTTTGGCATCTGTGTGGATGATAGCCACTGGGGAGCTGCTCTGGACAGCAGCTGAGTCCTGGGTATAGCCCTGCACCTGGCAGGCAGACTGTGTATGTCTTGTCTAGAGTGGCTGTGTCATTCTGTCTGTGAGCCACTACCAGCCGAGCCCACACCCGCCTCCTTCTGCCTCACTAAGAGCAGAAGTCCCTCTCTTAGCCCGTCCTAGGAGACAGTTTATCTTCTCTAGCCAATTTCTGATACAGAACAGAATGGAGTTCATAGTGAACAGCCTTGAGTAGTTGAGAGAAGTAGCCTCTGAGGTATTACTGAAGCACCATTCAACTTCACCTCCTCTCTGGGACCTTAAAATGAAACCTCCCTAGCTTAGAGTATTCTGTCATTGTCTACCAGGCAGTTGAGCCTGCCACTAGCACTCTTCAGGTCACTAACCTGCCTTTTCCTGTGTCCATCCTGCTTCCAGTCCCGTATGTGCAGCTCAGTCACCTGAGCACCGAGTCAGGTACCTTCCTCTGTGCTGGCCCTGCCCCTGTCTTCTAGCCACGCTCTCCTGGCTGCATTGGCTGCCTGCAGCATGTCGCGGTTTTCCTGTACAGTGAGAGCCCGATAGAACGTGGCTCATTGTGCCTCAAGAGGATTAGCCTGCAGGCCCAGCCCCGATTCCCCAGGAGAAAGAAAGGAATAGGTTGCACTAGCCAGGCTGCTGCTTACCCCAAATGCAGAGACAAAACAACAGCTGAAGCTTATATAAACGTATAAGTAGAGTAGTTCTCCCACCGCCTGATCCCTGAGTTAACCCTAGACACAGGAATCAAAGAGCAACCTTGATTCTAAATAGGAGTGTGAGGGCCTGTGACTAGAGAATTGTGCAGGTGATAGCATCTTTTGACTCCAGCACTAAAATGACACCTGGAGGTGAGGCTGGTGCCTCAGAAACATAGGCAGGGAAGTTATGCCAGGTAACACCCTATCCTGGTCAAGCCACAAGGGCCTTAGCACTCAGGTAGTGACAGAAGAGGAGTCTGAGTTAAACACCCACCCCCAGAGCTCTTTCCTGATAGGCAGCCTTTATTTACTTCACGGTCTGTGTAGACGCCGGCTGCAGGCCCATCTGCCCTCCCTACCTTCCTGCCTATCTCCTCCCCAGGCAGCAAGAGTCACCTGTGGACACGGATGGTAGTCTCGTTGTATCGGGCTTGCACTGTGTTTGTAAAACACTTTCATACTTGTGTGATTTGTCTTTGTTTGGTTTAATCTTGCATGCTCTGCAGGTTTTGGTTACCTATTTGTGTTCCCAAAGCCTCTTTCCTAATCACTGTATATTAGCTATACTCTGGACTTAGATTCCCCCTTGTTCTGCTTCAGAATAGAATCAGCTGAGATTCCCACCTGTGATCAAAGCAGCCTTGCACATTACTGCTACCAAGAGCAAATAATGCAATGTGAAGATGGATATGCTTGTTCTGTGGTCACCTTAAATGGATTGGGAAAGCTAAATGTACAGCCTTCTGTGAACCGTCTAGTTGCCAGACTTAACCAGGGCTCCATCTTCTAGTCCTCTTCGTTCTTTCTTACAGTACCATCTGCCAGCATGACCCGGCTCGCCCGATCACGAACCCACTCAATCTCGAGTAGCAGCATCGGTTCTGGAGAAAGTGCCTTCAGCCGATCTGTCACCAGCAGTCAGTCAGATGGAACTCAAGAATCCTCTGAGTCCCCTGATGTTCTGGACAGACACCAGACCATGGAGTTGTCCTGCTAAGCAGATGCTCCTCCCTTGGACCATACAAATCCATCCTCCTTCAAATGACCACTCCATTATGTAACATTTCATCCAGCAAACTGGCATCTACTATCTGTAACTCCTGCATGGCCACTGACTCTCTCTGGTATACTGGATTTATCATTCTCTCTGCCTGTCCACCCCCCTTTTTGTATGTACCAAGAACCACTTCCATACCATCACTGTAACATTCCAACATCTTTAGCTGATCGAATCGCCATATCTTCTCTTGCCAGCTTTTTCCTGTGCTTTCCTAACAATGTATCTGATAAGATTCTTTGATCCTGATGTATGTGTGTGAGCACGCGTGTCTGTTTGTGTGTGCATAGTTCTGTGATTTTAGACATGCTTTCTTGTAGAGCTTCTGCAAAAAAAAAAAAGGGATTTTTTTTTTCTTTCATTTTCAATGGTATGGTGTTTTTAGGAGAAACATACAGAACAGGTTTCTAGGTTGGATAGGCCACTGCATTATCTTTTGCTTCCAAATTGGTCAGCATGATTTTCAAAGTGACTTCAGGAGAGAGCAGCTCTGAAGAATGTGGCAGATCATAATTGCTTTTGGGCTGTTGATTGATTAGAAGGATACCTGTTATAGTGTGGTCAGCCTCCTGCTCCTTTCAGAATGAATTCACATAAATTATTCTGTAAATAAAAGGAAGGGAGATATTTTCTCAGAAGCCCACAAACATGAAGTTCTCTTGCAACATGGAGTTTTTCCCAAGAAAAACTCACTACTGGACTCTTCACCACTGGACTCTGCACAGAACAAAACACCAGACCTCCACTCTGCCAGAGCGGAACTGCTTTCCCTATAGTGTCCAATACTACTTACCAGACCTCTGTGAAAAGTGTCTCCCAGCTTTGTAATAGAGTGTTCTATCCTATGTCCCCAAAAGGAGGAGGTCTGAAAATACAAGATGGTGAGGAAATGGCTGGGAGAGAGGAACAAACACTAACCTAATACCATGTTTAATAAAGACAGTCTTGGTTTCAGCTAACTTAATGGAGCTAATTGAAATTGACACAGAACAGTTTTCTCGGAAAGATTGTTAATCCAGAGAACTTCTTTTCCTAGGAGGGAAAGGGCCAGTCTGTAAGGGCAGCCTGTAAAGGTAAAATTGTTTTCAGCTTCGTGTCGCCATATGAGAGGTCATCGCAAGCCAGAAACTATCACTGGGAAGAGAGTGAAACCAGCTGCCACACAGCAAGGGCCCAGCTCTTGAGGGCATTGAGATGTAAGCTCAGGGTCACAGCTCCGAACCTTAGGAAGGGCCTTGTCAGACACCGTGTTTGCTTTCTGCTGAGACAGGGAATGCGTTACTCTGCCCAAGTACAACTTTTTACAGATTATTAAATAAAGCTGTATATGTCTCATTGTTATCTGATTGCTGGTATTATTTCTTTCAAGACATTCACTGGGAATCAAGGTGGGACTGGGGTTACCATATTTGGGCTCCATGTTGGACATTTTCACATATTGATCATTATCCCATCCAGTGAGGAAATGAAGGCCTGAAATAAATGATCTGCCCAAAATGTTAACAGCCCAGCCAGGATTGAATCCCAGGTCTCTCTGACATGCTGTAGTCCCCTCAAAACTTAAAATCATGAGAAGCCTGACTGCAGTTTGCAGTGGAGAAGCTGTGGTCTTGGAAAGATGTTCCACATGTCTGCTCGACCATCTCTGTGGAGTGCCTGGTCCTACCCTTTGTGCAGTCATCTGCAGCTACTTGTTTGGGTTCCTCTAACAGACCAGGCTGTGTTTCTCCAGAAATGACTTATATTCACCAAGAATAAATTTCAGGAGACTCCTATCGTAGGTGAGTCTTGAATGACCAGGAGCTATTGCTCCTATAGTTCATGGATGTTGCTGTGTCAGTAGATTTGCAAAATGACATGACCTTGCTCATTCTAGTGGAGGAGATGAAACGGATGCCTGCCTGTGAACAGAATACAGGTCACCATGCTGAAGTCCTGACAGTATAGGCCAACACAGTTCTGGAGGAGATCTGATGTGGCCCAAGTGTCTTGGCCACACACAGAATGGATGGTGGCCTGCCTTCCCTCTTCAGCAGTGTACCTGAAGTCAGGCCCTAAGTGACTGTTCTTGTTTGGGCCTTACCTCACTCATTCCTCTTATTTTCACTTCCTTTCTGCTTCCTGAGTCCACAAAACTCAAAGTGCCAGCTTTGTAAGAGGCAAGGAAGTGGTATGTAGCCTTTACACAAGGTAATTGGGTAAAACTCCCATGTATGTGGTCTTACCCAGTTCTCATGGCAAGTCTGTACAGTGGATGGTGTGTGTTTGCAGACAAGGAACAGCTGATGAAAGCTAAGCAATTTGACCAAGGTCATACAGCTTGAAAAAGATTCCCAGTTCTTTCAGAATAAATGCATTTTTGTTATTCAGACTTTCATCAAGCAGCTGCTATGAATGGAGTCCTTAGCACTTTCCTGTATATTTCCTTCTATTGACCCAATTAGGTACATGCTAGTTCCATTTAATGGGTGAGGAACAGGCCCAGAAGTAACAACTTTACAAATGATTGACCAACTAGTTAAAAAAGAGGCCAGAAATGACCATTCCCTACTTCTTGCCGCATGCATGGACCTCACCTTGAGACTAGTCTGAAGATTTGCCTGTTAAAAAGGAAGGGACATCAGAATGGTTTGGAGGCAGGAGCAAAAAGTGGGTCTGTGCTCAGTGCCCTCTCTGCTCTGGGCCACATCTCATGGCCATCATCCATCCTAGCATCTTGGCTAGAACTTAAGTGAATGCATCTCCAATCTGACTCTTTGAGCCCCTCGTGCCAACTGTTCACAGATGTAAATCTCAAACCAGCCATTGCAGAAGCCTTGATAATGCTGTAAAGTGAACTGAAGTTAGGAGTCATTTTGTGTATTTGTGTGTGTGTGTGTGTGTGTGGTTTTTTTTTAAAGATTTATTTATGCATACAGAACTGGGGTACCGACCAGAGGTGTGGGGGCTATGAGAGGATTCACCAGAGACAGTGGAGTACAAAACAGGCTGACTGACGAAGTACACTGCTGAGGGGAGCAGCAGGTGGGTCAGGAGAGGTCTGGCATATCTGGATCACCTCCAGGGCAGGGATCGAACTCATGCTGAAATGGCTTTAGCTTTGACCTGCTGCACCACCAGGGAGGGGCCCATTTTGTGTGTGTTTTTTTTTTAAAGTCTGACTCTAGGAATACTAAGTTTTCTAATAGAAAGGCAGCAAAGGGGTATGTTTATTTAATGCCAATAAGCTAGGAATTTTTGTCTGATTCTCAAGCTTGAGATGTGCAGCAGAATCACCTGAAGGATTTGTGAAAACAGATTGCTGGCCCAAACCATGGGACTTCTGATTTAGTAAATTTGAGATGGAACCTGAGATGTGCATGCTTAACAAACTCCCCAAAGACGCTGATTGCTGGCCTGGGACCACAGTGGGGGACCACTATCTAGGTTTTACTACTCAGTGTGTGGCCCTCTGGCCAGCCTCAGGGGCATCATTGGGAGCTTGTTCTGCAGCATCTTGAACCCCACACCAGATCACTGAACCAGAAGCTGTATCAAACAAGATCCTCAGGGAATTCCTACACATCTTTCAAGCAGTACTTCCTAGGCATTCAAGGTTAGTCAAAGGGATCTCAGAATATTTTAAGTCAGGTTCCTAGATTGCATCTCTGGTGATTTAGATTCAAAAGATGTGGGAGGATTCCAGGTTCACATACTAGCAAGCCCCTCGGGTGTTTGATCAGGTAAGAATTCCTGCTCATTTACCATGGTTCTGTGTTCCTTGGGCAAAACCACGTCACAAAGTAAAAAAAAAATCTCTCCCTCCAGGATCATGACAGGGCAGTTGCCTCTTCCCCAGAAACAGGAACTTGGGGAAGGTGGCTCCTCTATGGTCTGTGATGCCGTCAGAGGAAACGGGTGGTTGTGAGAACCACAGAGCCTGCAGATGTGAGCTGGGAGGCCCGAAGACCCTATCAGAGCTCAAACAGCCCTGCACTGCCTCCCTGGTCCAGCTGTGCTTTCAAGGCTGTCCAGTTGGGTGTCACTAGGGAGTATGGGGCTCCTGTCCCATCTCAGGTGCACAAACTGCTGACCACTGGCAGATGAGGAGTTTCCCAAAGCGCTACCAAGAGCCTCTCTGAAGATTCTCCCAGACAAGAGTTCTGGGTGTCCTTCTACTGGGGACATTTTCAGACTTCAGAAGGGCCCCCAATGCCCTTACCTCGAAGGCCAAAGCATGCATCTTAATTGAGCCCCCACACCAAGCCTCTGATGACAGGAAACCAGTAAGTATGCTTGCTTTTGTTTTCTTATGGCCTTAGGACTGTGAGGAAAGATGGTTCACTCAGAGACGGGAGGGGATTTTACAGTTGAAAAAGGAGTTCAAAAAAAAAAAAAGAAAGAAACGTGGCTCTGCTGAGTCTGTAAAAAGGGTGGTCTCTAAGGGTCCCTGAAAGAGTAAGATTGCTCCCTTCCACCTTTGCCTTCTTGGAATATTAAAACCCCCTTTATTCCCATTCTGGCCCCACCTTGGCTACTTGTTTGCTGTGTGACCTTGTCCCTCTCTGGGCCACAGCCATCTAATGTCAGTGAATATGAGGAGTCTGGATTTTAATCTCTGAAAACACTTTGAACTCTAGTGTCTATGGTTCCTCTCAAAAAGGTGATATTTCTCAGTTGAAAGAGTGTGACAGCTTCCTTTGGCTCAATTCAAATTCTTCACTCTTACCTCTACTGCTGAGAAATCGCTTTCACAGAAAGACATGGGTTGTAAACCCAGCCCTGGCTAACAGCTATGTGATAATGAGAACAGTGCCCTCTGGCCCTGGTCATTGTATCTGAATGTATTTTGAATCTGCCAGCTTCTCAGAGGGTGAAGTGTAAGATCCAAAACAGCTATGGATAGTGTGCTAATCTGACGACCTTTTACTGTTTTCTTCTACCCACTGGCCCTGGCCCCTAAAAAGTGCCTAGCATATAGCAAATTTCTCATGTACTTCTTTAACTAATGAGTAAATTCTCCCTCTCAAAAATGTTGGCCAGTACTACCTCTTAGGCTTGGCCATCCCCTGGAAGGAAAGTGACAGGAGAGTGTGCTGGGGGGCTTCCAGAATGAGTGCAGTGCACCTGCCTCCCTCGGGCCCATCCCCCAACTACACCTACAGCAGGAAGAAGTTTCTGAGTTTTAACGCATATGGTGATTGTGGTGACTGTCTTGTTGAGGGGAAAGGAAGCGAACCTTTAGAACTCATGCCATGATAATGACAGAATGCCCACTCTGCCAGGCTGCTCCACCTCTCCCCACTATGCAGTTGGTATGTATCTGGTTCACAGGTGAGACTCACAGTCTCTGCCAACCTCAGTATGCTTTGCCTGAGCTCACACAGCTCAAGCTGGTTGGTCTGATTTAATCACTAATGCCTGCACAATTAAGTACTGGGCCAGCACCTCATACCTACGGGTAAAGGAGAGGCTGGGGAGCAGGAGAAAGGTTGAAAGCCTGACCTGAAGAGGCTGTCCAGGTTCAGGATACCAAAGTCTGAACAGGAAGTGGCTGCTAGGAGCCTTTTCCTATTAGCTGGCTTATTTTGTGTTAAAGAGCTCCTCTCCCATGAATACTGGCTCCCCATCAGAGACAGCAGCAACATCATCCAGTTATCTCCAGGCTGATGACATGACACTGCAGATGCAAGAGAAGTATCTTGCAGACACACGGGTGCTCCATCCTCTAAGGCAGGATCCTTACTCTTTAGAACTGACCAGCGAGGCTTTAGAACTCACAGCATGATAATGATAGATGCCCTTTCTCACGTGGGCAGGGGGTATTCAAAGACAGGACAGATGCAGCTGTATTACCACGCCATTCTGTGAGCTCCCAGACAGCTTCAAGTGACAGTCCTGGGGACTGATCAGTGAGTGTTACGTATACCAGGTTTGCTTGGTAAGCTAAGCAGGTAAGTGCAGACCCCTGTCCTGGGCACAGACTTGATGAATATGCTGAATGCAGCCAGTCTGGTATAAGTACACCTTGTCTTTAAAAAGAATGGAGTCAACTGAAAGAATAATAACATTTTCCCAAAATGCTTTTTTTTTTTTAGATTTATTTATTTATGCATACAAGAACTAGGGTACAGGCCAGAGGTGTGGAGCAGTGAGAGGATTCACCAGAGACAGAATGGGGAGCAGAACAGGCTGATTGAAATATGCTGCTGAAGGGAGCAGCAGGTGGGTCAGGAGAGCCCTGCCACGCCATGTGGGTCACCTCTTGTCCGGGGATCAAACTGGTGCTGCGGCAGCTGCAGAGAGCTTTAAGTGCTGCACTTTAACCCCTTGTGCCACTAGGGGGGCCCTTCCCCAAAACACTTTAATAAAATAATGGAAAAATCAGCTTTACCCTGGAAACCTGGGAATTTAAATTACTCTAATGAGACAGCTGCCCAAAGAGCTAATCATCACTTTCATTTACTTATGTATTTAATTGCCTTCCATGGGCCAAGCTAAAAGAGGTCCTTGTGTTCACTGAGCTATACAATAATGGCAGATTAGGGCCCTCCCTGGTGGTGCAGTGGTTTGAAGTGCAGCACTGCAAGCCAGCCTCAGCCTCTTCAGTGGGAGTTCAATCCCTAGCCCCGGAGGTGACCCACATGGCATAACAGACCTCTCCTGACCCGCCCACTGCTCCCCTCAGCAGTGTACTTCATCAGTCAGCTTTTCTGCTCCCCACTCTGTCTGGTGAATCCTTTCCTCGCCCCTGTGTCTCTGGCCTGTACCCCCGTTCTGTATGAATAAATAAATCTTTAGAGAAAACAAATAATGGCAGATTAAACAAGTATGTTCATGAATAATTAACACTTTGGAAGGAGCACAACAATGAGAAAGAAGGCGAGACTCCCTGCAAGGCCTCTGCTGAGTGACGGTCAGGGCCTGATAAAGGAAAAGTGGCCCCTGGCCAAGCTCCACATGTGTTATCTCTTGGACCCTTATGTTGGGTGTAGTTATCCCCATTTTTCAGATGAGGAAATAAAGGCAAAGAGGGGAAGTGGTTCGATGCCAGTTCTTCAAAGCTGTGTCATACTGTGTCACACACAGTCATCTTTGTTCTGTGAGACCAGCCGGTGTCAGTTTCACTTGTGACACCAGCGCCCAAGCCTCCTAGGATTCCCTTTGCCCACCTGACCTTAGACATGGGTACTAGTATGTCTGAAATGAACTCTGTCCTGTATTGTCCCCTGCCACCCAGCTGCAGAATGTGAGCCCAGGCCAGGAAATGGCCCAAGTAGCTATAGGAATGATAAGCGAGGGCTGGGAGTTTCAGGGAACACTTCCTGTGGAGGATGGGATCCAGGCAGGGCCAAAGAAGGGGTAGAACATTCCAGTAAATGGGAAGGGGCACAGCTTACATGAAAGCCCAGAAACAAAAATTCAAGTATAAAAAAGATGGGATACAGAAATAATGGTCCAGTTTGCAGAGAGCCTTCAGAGACAGGCAGAGGGATAGCCTGATGGGAAGGAAACCATTCACCTATGTCAGCAAGGAGTCAGCAGGGTTGAGTCGCTGGTTGAGGGGGGCAGTGTGTGAAACCAAGCCCCTCAACCACAGCTGTGTCCCCATGGCTCTGTCTACATGGCAGTTTTTCTTTCAGATGTGTGCCTCTGAAATTTCTGCGGAGGAATGATGATGGGAAGTCAACCCAGCAGAGGGAAAATGCTGCCAAGCCCGAGCTCAAGGCCCTCTGTGCTCTTGCAGACAGGTAGGCAAACAGGTAGGCCACAGGGGTCTGTCGGCGGGTGGTTCCCAGGCACTGTAAGGCTGGCCAGTGCCTTCTTTACTAGGCACTTCCACACAGCTTCAAGCGCCAGCTATTGTGTACCAGGGGGCTGCTTGGTAAGCCTCACCAGCAGCACCTGCTCTTGTGCAGCCAACATTTTAGCAGTCGGAATATTAACCAACAAATACACTGGAAAAAAAAGTGCTAACCAAGAGGGTGTGATAGCCCCCCAAATGGTTTCCCTCCTCTTCAACCAGTTTACTCAGAAACTGAATTGATAACATTACAACCGACCCCACTTCTGTGAATTCCTGCACTATTATAATAGCCGCATACTGCTATTTAACCTAAATTTAAATGAAATAAAATTTAAAATTCAACTCTTTAGTCATACTAGCCATGAGATGCTAGAGGCTATCTTAATGGATAGCACAATTATAAATTACCATCATCACAGGAAGTTCTCCAAAGTGTCTCTTCTTTTCCTGAGGAATGCTATGAAGTCCTCAAATCAGTATTAAGGCTATGTAATTGGGAAAAACTGGCACAACTATGTATATGCTTAATCCATAACCATTTTCTAACATAGACCTGGTTAAAATGCCATTTTATGGGATAATTAAGCATATTAGAAAAATACTAGAAATTCTAATATTTTGATGTCAAAATCATAACCCTCAGTCGGTTTATTTTTTATCAAAACAGCCTATAAATCCTTTCTCAAACCACATTCTGATTTGGGGTTTTGATAATGTAGTTATCAGTGTTCTCCAAAGAAACAGCTAAAAGTGTGTGTGTGTGTGTGCGTGTGTGTGTGTGTGTGTGTGTGTGTGTGTGTGTGGGTTCTGCAGGCCAGGCTAAGCGGATGGAAACCTAGGAGAGTTGATGTTTCAATCCTGAGACTGAAGGCAGAATTCCCCCTTCTTAGAATGACATTTCAGTCATATTCTTTTAAAGTCAACTCATTCGATGAGAACAACCACATTATTGAGGATAATCTGCTTTATAAATATATATATATATACAAAAAACTACTGATTTAAATATTTCGATCTAAAAAATACCTTCACAGCAACATCTAAAAAAGTTTTCAACCAACTATCTGGGTACTGCAGGCTAGCCACATTGACACAATCAACCGTCACAGATAACCGTACTTTAAATCAAGCAGAACTTCTAGGAGGAAGGACCGGGTCACACTCTTGTTTAAAATACGGCATTAAAGTAGAAAAAATACCAATGCAAAGAACATGATGAACAAAATAGCAACATTTTAAGTAAAGATGGGATCCTTACACTTTTCCCTCCCACCACTTATATCTACACTTTTCCCTCCCACCACTTATATCTGACCCTTTCCCCAGCCACAGCCTCTTCCCTCTAACCTCAGAAACCTCACTTCAGTTATCAATGCCCAATAGTTTATATATATTTTGCTTTGTCAGTTCATCCACTGAGCTCACATGTTCGATATTTGTCTTTACCTTTCTGACTTGTTTTGCTGTACACAATTCTCTCAAGCACCTTGCACATTACTGTAAAGGGTACCATTTCCTCTTTCCTTATATCTGAATATATTTCATTGTGTGGATATACAACATCTTTTTTTTATTTTAAAGATTTATTTATGCATATAAGAATTGGGGTGTAGGCCAGAGGTATAGGGGTGAGAGGATTCACCAGAGACAGAGTGGGGAACAGAACAGGCAGATCTGCTGAAATACACTGCTGAGGGGAGCAGCAGGTGAGACAGGAGAGGTCTGCTGTGCCATGTGGGTTAGTTCCCTGGCTGGGGTCAAACTCCTGCTGCAGTGGCTGCCCATAGCTTTATAACTTTATAGTTGCATGGTGCTTAGTTCCTCCACCAGGGAGGCCCTCTTTTTTTTTCTTGTCTGATTGCTCTAGTTCAAGTGACAAATACTAGATAAGCAGAGGTGAAGACAGTGGGCATCCTTGCCTTGATCCTTATCTCAAAGGGCAAGCTTTCAATTTTTCAGCATTCAGCATAAAATGGGTTGTGTGTTTATGATATATGATCTTTATGGAGCTCTAGTGAGGAAGGTTCCTTTTATTCCAGTCTTGTTAAGAATTTTTATCATTAATGGATGAGAATCTATCAAATGCTTCCTCTGAACCTATTATCATTTTTTATACTTTCTTTTGTTGCTGTAGTGTATTATACTGATTGATATGCATGTATTAAACCATTCTTGCTTTGCCAGAATAAGTCCCAGTTCATCATAATGTATAATCTTTGTACTATATTGCTGAATTTGATTGGTTAGTATTTTTTTGAGAATCTTGGCATCAGTATTCATCAGAGTTGTTGATCTGTAGTTTCCTTTTTTGTGTGTGCTGTCTTTGGTTTTAGTGTTAGGATAATGTTGGTATCATAGAATATGTTAGAAAGTATTCCCTCTTCTTATATTTTTAAAAATAACTTCAGTGAAGTGTGCATAGGGCCTCTCTGGTGGCCTAGGGGTTAAGTCTCCATGCAGTCACCACTAGGATTTGAGTTTGATTTCCAGCTAAGGAGCTACCACACATGGTGCCTGCTGCTCCCCTCAGCAGTGTATTTCAGTAAATCCCTCCACCTCCCCTGCAAAATATCTCTGATTTATAGTTACATGCTAGTTTTTTTTTTTTTCTTGATCCCTTCCCTGGTGGTGGAGAAGAATTTTTTTATTACCATTTCAAGTTCCATAATTTTGATTGATCTATTCAAGTATAATTCCTTTCTGTTTCTGTCTTGGTAAATTGTATTGTAAAAGTTTATTCATTTTTCCCAGGTTATCAAATTTGTCAGTATATAGTAATGTCTTATGAACCTTTGTATTTCTATGCTCTGTGTAGTAATTTCTCCTCTCTCATTTTTAAGTCTATTTATCAAATTTTCTCTCTTCTTTGATAACCTAGCTGAAAGTTCATTGATTTTTCTTCTCAAATAGCCAACTCTTAATTTCACTAATTTTTTTTTCAAGTTTCAGGTACTTACTAATCAGTGTAAATCCAAACACACCAACATCATTTTGTGTGTTTAGAGAGAAAATATTTTCTGGTTAAGGGGAAATTGTGCAGATGGCTTCTGGAAGCTTTATAGTGAAAGTACTTTTACAGTCTTATAGTGAAATATTTAATTTCAGAGCCTGGACCTTCTTTCTTCAGTTTGCTATAATCTACATTTTTTACATTTACTAAGTAGAACTTGTATTGATGATGGGACCCAGTTTGTTCCAGGGCTCTTGAGTTTTTCTTCCTGTCCCAACCAACATCTGGAGGCACTCAGGTACCTCCAGCTCCAATAAATACAAAGAGAGAGGTAAGCTAGGAAACTTCTTCACCTGATTGAGAATCTGGTGAACCACAGTTACAGGAGAGGTCTTGGATTGGGAAGGAGAGGACAATAAATCTACAAGGACTTTAATCTGTAATAAATCTGCTTGGACTTAGTCTCCCCTTCATTGATCTTTCGTAAGTTTGTTTATAGTTCCATTTCATTTATTTTTGCTCTGACTTTTATTATTTCCTCCCTTCTACTAACTTTGAGTCTTGTTTGTTCCTTTTTTTTTTTCAAGGTGATATTTTGATACATCCCTTAAATTTTGATAAGTTATATGTACTTATTTTCATTAATCTCCAGATTATTTAATTTCTGACCCACTGGTTACTGAGGAGTTATTTAATCCTCTCTGTGTTTAAAACATGTGTGTATTTTTTTAATAGTTGATTTCTAGCTTTATGGCATTAGAGCAAAAGAATGCTTGGTATGATTTAAGTCTTTACAAATTGACTTGTGTCCCAACATATGGTCAGTTTTTGAAAATGTTCAAAGAGCATTTGAGGAAAATATATATGCTGTAGTTCTTGGACAGACTATTCTGTAGGTGTCTATTAAATATATCTGATCTAGCTTGTCATTTAAGAGTACTGTTTTCTTATGCTGTCTTTTTTTTTTTTTTAAGATGTATTTACTATGCATACAAGAGTTAGCGTGTAGGCCAGAAGTATGGGATGGGGGGCGGAGGAATCAGTAAAGATAGAGTGGGGAGCAGAACAGGCAGATCGACAGAAATATACTCATGAGGGGAGCAGCAGGCAAGACAGGAGAGGTCTACAGTGCCATGTGGGTTAGCTCCCTGATGGAGGATCAAATTCATGCTGCAGTTGCTGGTGATAGCTTGATAGCATTGAGACTTAACCCCTGTGCCACTATGGAGGCCCCATTTCCTGATTTTTTTTTAAATTACCATTTGCTTATAGAATTGTCTTCCAGTTTTACTTTAAGCCTGTGTTTATTTTTAGTAATAAGATGAGTTTTCTATAAACAAAAGATTCAACTTGGTTTTATAATCCATTCAGCCACAATATTCCTTTTAATTGGTGATAAAACCACTTAGGGTGATTTACACTTAGGGTGATTAATGAAACATAATCTGTCTTATTGATCTACCATTTTGTTCTTTGTCATCTATTTTTATCTTTTTTTGACACCTTTGTTTGGGTTTTATTTCTGTTTTGTTTGGGTTTTATTTCTGTTTTCTTATGTGTTACTTCTCCTATGTGTTGACCTTTGTTTGAAGGTTATATGTTATTCTCTATATATATGATCTACTGAAAAATTTAATATAAACTCATTCTAATGGTGCACATATTTACTCTCCTTGTTCTCTACATTGTGAGATTTTTATGCTTGTTATTTCTAGATGGGATTTGTTGTTGCTTTGTAACAGTCCCTTTAACATTTTTTGAGAACAGAAAAGGTGAATTTGTTGAAATATATTGCTAAGAGAAGCAGCAGGTGAGACAAGAGAGGTCTACTTCATCTTTGATCTTTTAAGGCCAGGTTGCTAGTACTGCAGTTTTTTAATTTTTGTTTTACTACAAAATGCCTTGTTCCTCCTTCAGTCTTGAGTGGTACTCTGACCAGACAAGACATGGTCACATTTAAACAGAACTATAAGACTACAGAACCAAGTATCTGGGTATTCTTGTTTAGGTTGGAAGCTATCCCAAATCTGAAAACTCCCCTACAATGGCTAGAGTTCCTCCTACTCCTCAATCCCCATCTCCAGTATCCCCATCTTCCTAATATCCCTAAACCCCATAGGCATTGGTATCCTGGACCCTACAGAACTTCTTTTGGGGAGGCTGCTTTAGTTATCAGTCTGCAATGAGAGCTTGAGGCCCATCAGGCCCTGCAGGAAGACCTGGAAACCACACAGGCCTCCACGTCATTTCCTCTGAATGTAGCCACAGGCCGTGGCCCCAGAGCTGCTTTGAGTCATGCCTGGGCTGCTGCTGATGGTGGTGATTTCCCACACAGGTGACCTCCTCGGAGGTCCTCTCTGTCAGTGAGACCAGAGGGGAAGTACATTGTCCCCCAACCTCCACCCACTAGCGTCTCTAGGAGAACAGTGGGCCTCTCTCTCAGTAGTTCAACCTTTGTCTCAGCAGGTGTATGGACTTCAGGCAACCTGTCAGTGAGTTATTTGTTTGTCTCATAGCCTTGCATCCATTTTAAATCTACCAAGGCTCTACCATGTCCCAGGACCAGACGACACAGAAGTAAACAAAAGAGGCATAGTTTCTGCCTTTAGAGACAGTCAAGCCAGGGGATAGTCAAGCCAGGGGACTCTTGTGCTACTCCAAGAGTCAGTGACAATTGTGTTATATTTTGGTGATCTGATCAAGAGTATGTGCTGAGAGACTCATAAGGGAATACCTGGAGGCAGGGACATTCCAGCCAGGGAGTAAAGGAGGAAGGTGAGTTGGCCAGGGAGAGGTGCCAGTCATGGAGATAGCACATGCATGCTGCTCAGAGGCTCCAAGGGGTGCAAGACTAGGGCTCTCAGGAGAAGAGGATCTTTCAGGCCCTTATCAAAGACTTGTGGACACCCCCCACAAGACTTGTTTGCATCATTTATTCAGGCATCAGGTAGTCTCCTGCACTGTAGGGTAGCCAGCCCTACGCTAATTACAGGTGACTTAAAGAAGGAGTGACCCCTGGACTTCAGTGAGCTTGAGTCGGGTCATCACAGGGTTCTTCATGTGTGTCCGAGATGTGTGGGAAATGGTCCATTTCTAGCATCTCAGGCCCACTCTTCTCATGTTGACCCAGAGGCCCTTAGCCACAGTGTCTAGCTCTAGGTCTCTGGGTCTCCCCCACTCATTTGCTGGATCCTTTGCTGTCCATCACCCCTCCTCCACCTCAAGGGACCCCAGCCCCACCTAGAGGGCATTGTAGATTCCTTCAGGAACATCTATACCCTTGACTTCTTTCTGATCGCTGACCTTAACTGCTCTTCCTAGCTTAAAGCATTGATGTGCTGGCTAGTCTATTTTCCCTTTGTTGTAGAGGCCCTTACTGAAGCAGAAGAAGGGAAGTGAGGAAGGGGAGGGGTGCTGAGCTACAGGAGAAGCGACTCAGTAGCCTGTAGAAGACAGGTTTCTCAGGCAAGAAGGCCTGGACAGGCAAGGAAGGCTCAGGTAGATGGACTGATCTCTGATGTTGGCACAGGATTGAGTGTCCTGTGCAGAGGGAGTTGCTTGCACCTGCTGTCGAGTCTGGAAATCGAGTCTCATGGCCACTACATTACTGGATCAGTCCCGATGTGACAAGGTTTGATGTCCTCTGGTTCTGATTCCCTTTCTGGCCTCCCAGGGAGTCTGGGCACTTCTGGAAATTTGCTGTTGCTGTTTAACCCAGTGCCCCACAACCTGGGCCTGCGATCAGCCACCATGGTCACCCACCCCAACGCAAACCCATTGGAAGAGCTGTGCTCTCACTCTGGAGGAGTGTTCTGCTGAGCCTCAGTCATCTTTCTGTCCAGTGGAGCCAACTAAAGATGGCTACTTCATGTATGTGAAGGCCAAGAGGAAACATACAGCACCTAGTCAGGCATAGCACATAGCAGATTCTCAGTGTGGTGGGAACCACTTGAGTAGGTGACACTTGAATAGGTGACACTTGACACCTGTGGGCCAGTCCTAGCATAGTGGACCCTGGTGCCACACCTTTTCTCATAAAGCAGCACAGAACTATACCCACTGCTCTGTGGACAAAAACCACAGGAAAGCCACTCTGCCTAGGTGCACAGGATTCTGGAATCACAACTGTCATTTCATGGCTACTTCAGGAATCTTCATCCTCCTGGGGCCCAGTACTCATAAGTTAGTCCATCCAATGTCCACTTTATCTGTGCCTTCCAGAAACTGAGCTCAGAAATTCATGCTGATTTCTGCTTAGGACTATAGGTTTTCATTTTTCTGAGCAGCAGAAAGCCTCAAAACATCTATAAAGATCTGCTTAGAAGGAACTGAAGCCAGCAGCTTTGCTCCTCTTGTCACCCTGACCTTTACCCTAAGATGCCTCCCCAAAGCTGTCTGAGCATTTCTAGTTTCCTGCAAAGCCCCACTGGAAAAGCTTCAGATTCCAGGGTTTCCCTCCTGGGATTCCAGCAGATGTGACCCCCGCAGGGTGCCTATAGGAGGGAGACGCCACTGAACTGTACATCTTGAGAGAGGAGCTGGCAAAAAGGATGACCATTTCTGTCCCTCCATCCAGAAAAAAGCAAGACCCGAGGCGTGGCCCTGAGCAATTTTCCGGTAGGCGAGCAGTCCGAGCTGTCGCTGATACTGGGGGAGCCACTGACCATTGTCTCTGAGTAAGTGCTTCTGAGGGCCTCTGGTGGGATGCTCTGTTGCTCCCCCTGGATACACCAATTTCAGAAGGGGCTCCTGCCTCAAAAAGTAAAGAATGGTGTCTTTGATGCCCATCTCACATGCTACCCTAATGGTGGGATTTCAGGCTGCTGATACTCCTACAAGGAGAAGCAGTGAGTGGACAGGAAACCCTGAATCATTCCATCTTCCACCCAAAAGGTTCCTGGGCAACCTGGTGCAAGGAATCCTGGGAAACACAAGTGGGGCAGTGGCTCTAGGATTCAGTCTTGAGATTCCTTGTGAATTCCAAATGAGCAGTTTTCTGGGTCTTGACTCATCTGAAAGGGGTCCCCTCTCCCTTCTCTCTCAAGGAATGGAGACTGGTGGACTGTGCTGTCGGAAGTTTCAGGCAAAGGATACAGCATCCCCAGTGTGCATGTGGCCAAAATCTCCCATGGGTAAGTTCCCAGCCCAAGTCCTGCCAAGTCCTGCCCCAAGAAGGGGATCTTCCTTCCTTTTCCCACTCAGCCCTGTGCTGCGCAACAAATTAAAGCTTAGAACAAATTAAAATCAGGCCCAGGTCCTTCCCTCAAGAACAACAGGCAGTGACTGACTCTTAGGTCGGTCTGGGAAACTTGGGAGCCCAGAAGTAGAGGCTCAGGAGGACCTCACAGAGGAGAAGGCATGACCTGGGCTTTGGAAGGGGCCCCAGAATCTAGTGGTGGAGAATGCTAGAGGGGACTTACATGAAATGGGAATAGCCTATATAAATGTCTTGAGGGGAAAAAACAGAGAAGCAGCACCTATGTCATGACAAGTTGCCTCTGAGCCCTCTGGGCTCTGAGAGGTGCCTCAAAGGTGGCCTGGGTTCCCGGACCAGGGTCCCTTAAATAATGAGAACAAAACTAAATGTCACAAGAGACAGAGGATGTGAATTTCTATAGGTGAGATCTACCTGAATACCATGGAGTCAGGTGTGTGCTGAAACAGCTCAGAAAGAACAGCCACCTGTGTGCCCTGCTTTTCTGAGGCTTGACATCTGGTTCGAGTGAGAGTGCCACAGGGATCCTGAGATGTGTGGCACCTGGTAGAATCAGCTCATACAGAGGCTGTCTGAAAGTCACATGAGGCCTGCTTGGGCAGATTCCCATCTGCTTGGCCTGCTGGCCAGCAGTTTTGCATCTACAGTGTTACATCAAGTTCAAGTCAAGAAAAAACTGACTATCTCCCAGAGTCCCCTTTCCTCACTACTTCTTCCCTGACATCTTTGTATGAATGACCTGTTTTACTTACTGTAAATTTAAAGTAAGTTTGCTGCTATATCAAAATGAGTCACAGCTTCTCACATTTATTTACCTGAAAGCAACTCAGTCTGGACTCCAGCTTTGCCTGTGGGATGTGTCAGGATGGCGGAGGCAGCCATGTTCACCAAATTGGCTTCTGTAGACTTCACACCAGCAGTCACTGGGCATGACGCTTACATTATTGGGACTAGCAAATCAAAGACAATACTGAAAAACTACCCCAACTTTTCCATTGCTTAAGTCCTTTGTGGACACATATTAAGTGAGGGATTAATGGAGAAGGAAAATAGGCAATAAGAGTAATCAATAATCCTAGCAATAGGCTGCATGATCAATTAGCTGTAAGACTCTTAAAAAGTTTAGGGTGTCCTGAACATTCTAGTTCCAACCTTTCTAGCTACAAATAAACCCCTTAGACTTTGCTAGATTTCAATGAGAATGAATAAATATCATCCTGGATATCTTTCACCTGTTACAAAGTAAAAAAAAAATTAAATATTTAAACAAAATATTTACTAAAACTTAAAAAAAAAAAAAGAAACAGTTTGTGCCCTCCTTGGTGGCACAAGGGGTTAAAGCACAGCACTATGAAGCTCTCCACAGCCACCACAGCATGAGTTCAATCCTGGCCAGGGAGCTGACCCACATGGCACAGCAGACCTCTCCTGTCCCACCTGCTGCTCCCCTCAGCAGTGTGTTTCAGTTAATGTACTTGTTCTGCTCCCCACTCTCTCTGGTGAATCCTCTCACCCCCCCATACCTTTGGCCTATACCCCAGTTCTTGCATGCATAAAGACATCTTTAAAAAAAAAAAGGGGGGGAAAGAAAGAAACAATTTGCACCTTTCTAATTCTTGGGAAGGTGAATGAATAAAATGGGAGCCCTGGAGGGCTGGCCAGTGATAGAAAAGAGGCTGGAATCACCTAACATTCCTCTGGCCACATGGGAATGATGTCTCTAAACAGAAAAGACTAAGGCTAAATCCATGAGGTTGTTCTCTTGTTACAGGACAGGGAGAGGAACACAGCTGAACCCCAAAACTGTCAGCTCTAAATAGGTTCTGCCATCCATCACATCAAGACAAAACATATGAGACCTTTAATGGAAAGGAACTTTAATACAATGAGTGTGCAATGCAGCAAACATAAAGAATATAGTTTCCAGGGCTCTCCTGGTGGCACAACTGGTTAAAGCACAGCACTACGAAGCTCTCCGCAGCCACTGCAACATAAATTCAATCCCCAGCCAGGGAGGTGACCTACATGGCCCAGCAGACCTCTCCTGTCTCACCTGCTGCTCCCCTTAGCAGTGTACTTTGTCGATCTGCCTGTTCTGCTCTCCACTCTGTCTCTGGTGAATCCTCTCACCGCCCCTGCACCTCTGGCTTATGCCTCAGTTCTGTATGTATGAATAAATAGATCTTTAAATAAATAAAAGAATATCGTTTCTATATCAAACACCCAAAGTCACCCCATCCTCTTGTGAGTAAAAGTCTACCTAAAAGGGATTGGCCCAAAGCAAGGCCTGAAAACCTGCCCCAAGTCTAAAGCACCTTCTGGCAGGGGCCCATAGAAACGGGTCAGAAATGGCCAGACAAATCTGGGAGGAGAAGAACAAAATCAAAATCAAGATAAGCACTGCCATAGTTAACTTCCGCACAGGTCTCTCACCCACGTCTGTTTCAGCCAGTCCAGGACCAAGAGGAAGCAAGCGCAGTCTCTTCATATGTCTCTGCTCCATGTGCCTCCCTTAGGTCGCCTTCTCACTCTCCATCCTGCTTCCTTCCTCCTCAGTTTCCTCTCTAGATTCCTCTCTTCCCTGCTCAGCAACAACCTCCTTTGGGGGGAAGGAGCAGGTAACCTGGAAACTCCACTTTTCCTGGGGACCATCCTGTTACATTCTGAGGCCCCTGGACCCAGGACTAGGAAGACAGAGTTGGGGGACCCTTCAAGACCCTGAGACTTTTTGTGGTGCAGGTGGAGGGAGGGTCTTGCTAGAGGGTTCACAGAAGGATTGGAGAGGTTCAGTAGTCTTGTTCCACCCCACTAACTCTGTCCTCTCTCTGCTTCTCCCCATAGGTGGTTGTATGAAGGTCTGAGCCGGGAGAAAGCTGAAGAACTGCTGTTACTGCCTGGAAACCTTGGTGGGGCCTTCCTCATCCGGGAAAGCCAGACCAGAAGAGGTGAGTAAAACATGACTTACCCTCCCTGGGTGGGAGTCCTCAGGGAAGAGCCCAAGATCTTGTTCAGTGAATAAGCTATGTCCTTACTGCCCAGTCATTCCCCTTGGTGGGGAAGATGGAGACACCCTATGTGGGCAGAGGACAATCACCTCCTCTGCAAGATGCTTCATGGAGGAGTGGATCTGAGTGGAAATGCATAGGATTTTCCCATGGAAGCCCAGGCTTCCAAAATCAAATGGTGCAGGGGGTGGGGTGGGGTGGGAAGAGGAGTGACTGGTGAGCTGTACCACAGACAGTTTAGGAGAAACATCAGCCAGAGCCCAGAGGACCTCGAATGGCGAGCTAAGAAGCTGAGTTTTTCTCCCTAAGGCCACAGGAGCTATTATTCAACTAAAAGACATGGTTAGTGTTAGATATATGTTTTGGGGTGACAGTCTGTATATGTGTCCCAGTCTTACTCTGAGATAAGGGGGATGCTGTAAATCACACTTCCTGTTCATGCAGGACTTCTCAGGGCTTTAACATTGTCTAATTGGGCATTTCCCAAATACTTTTGAACACAGAAACTTTACCTCATGTAGCATCTACTATTCAAACTACATTAATTGATTTCATTCATTAAACAAATGTTTCTCAAGTACCTTCTGTGGTACCATGGGGAGGCCTCAAGGAAGGAAAAGGAACTTATGAATACCAACAGCCTCTCTGGCAAGTGAGGTCGGCCAGGTCCTTGCTTGTAGGGAACTCTCAGGTCATTGCAAGCTGGTGTTCTATGGTACCCACTCTTTGAGAAACACAACTCTATTTTCCCTCATGTCAGGGCTTATCCCTCAAATGCCAAAAGCCAAGTGTGATGTGACTTTAGTGTGTAGAGGTAGGAGGCCAAATGTAAAGGGGGAATACCTGCCTTTGGAGTCAAGCATCTGAGAGACCACCATATTTTTGCCTTGAGAGCCCTTTAGTAACAGAAATAGCCTGCATTTCTAAGCCATTGTGAATGACCCACAGCAGGGATCCAGGCTCAGCCAACACTTTGGCATTTAGGACTTGTAAGAGTATAGGCTCAGGATTTCTCAGTTCTAGCAAGCAGTGACTCCTCTCTTCCCAAGACACATTATTCTGATCTATTAGCAAAAAGTTGACTCTGCTTTGAGTCACCAGCCAATCTGAGACTGGAACATCATTTGAACTGTCTCCACTGTAACAGATGGAGAAGAAGAGGCCTGAAAAGAGGTAGGGACATATCGCATTGCATATTCATATTATGCTTCTCTCAGTTGCTGGACCCCATGTCCACATTTCTAATTCAATGGGTTGGTAGTCAAGAGAGTCTGTCTCTGATATCCCTACCTTGCTGCCTTGCTGGTTTCCTTATAGTAGGGCAAAGAGGGATTCTGGAGGTGTGGCAGTGCCCACATTTATGTTAGCCCCTTTAAGAGCCTTCAAGCAACCGTGTGGGGTGTGTGCTTTCATTGCCCCCACTTTACCATCAGACTTGGAGAAATGACTTACCGGGGAGACACACCTGAAAAGTACAGAGCTGGGATTCAAACTCAGCTGAGGTTCATCTCACTTCAGACCCTCAAGAATGCCCACATGTGGCAATAATGGTGGAAGTGTAAGTTACAGACCAGGGAGGAGAAAAAGGAGTAAGGACCAATCTCTGTGTCTGTCCTAAGAGAATGAACTGTGATGGGTTGACAAAGGCCTTTGCTCACTACCTCCGTTCTCTTCCGGGGCCTTTCTCCAGGATCTCTTTGCCTCTCCTCCTCTTCTTTGAGAGTGCCTGGGCTGATTGCTCCTAACCCCTCCTGCTATTTTCCAGGCAGTGTTAGTATCCCACCTTCAATCTCTCACCCACAGATTGGCTGAGGTGGGAGGCCAGTCCAGTGTAGCAACTATAAACAGGAAACCACAGTGGGGGTGCTGTCTGGGGCAGGGGTGTTGCAGCTGAGTCCCAGTGAGCCTGAGAAGCCACAGGAAGTGCTCTGTGCTCAGCTGCCCTATTTCCCCCCTTCCTAGCCTGGTTGAGCTCAAAAGCATAGTGACTGACCCTTATTTCCACTTGATCCCTTTCCTAAAAAAAGCACATGTACAAGAGGAACTGGCTGGAAATAGAGAAAGCAGATAAGGATTATATGTATCTTTTTTGGTTGGGTAGAGTTTTATAAGCTACTGAGGCATCTGCATCACAACCCCAGTTTCTGATTTAATTTTATAGGGTGTGACCTATAAAAGTCCCAGGTGATTCTGATGTGCAGCCAGGGTTGAAATCTGTTGACGGTGGATCTAGACCAGTGAGTGCTTGACATGAGACAGGGTTTGGGGCAAATATTGCTTGATCAAGCTGTGTTTCAGAGTTTTACAAGTATGTCTGGGGTCATGATATAAAAGTTCATACTGTGGTTTGTGGTCAAAAAGTTTAATACCACAGCTCTAGGAGCCCAAGTGACATCATGAAAGGGTGGTTCTCAGGCTCGAGTGTACAAGAATTGCCAGACTCTTGGGCCCCACTGCAGATCTACCTATTAGACTCTTAGGGGCAGAGGTCAGAAATCTGCTTCCTTCACAATCTGTCTGGATGGTTCTTACATTCTTTTATGTTTGAAAATTTTTCCAATCTAGGGAACCCACAATAAAGTAGTAAGAGGTGTTTTTATATTTACATTATGCACCTTGCCATATAAAACAGTAACCAACTGTTAAGCAAGTGAGTGAGAGTCACCGGTATCAGCTTTTCTGTGGACCAAGGTCCAGGTGAACATCGGGGGAGGGAATTCTTCAGGGTCTTTGAACATGTGTGTGGACTGACCAAGGAGAAGGCCTGGGCTTGTAAGCTCCCAAGAACATTACTCAGAGTCTGGAGCAAGGGGACGGACATTCATCTTCTCCAAAATCCTACTGCCCCCCTGGTGTGCTCTAGACTGGGGGGATTCATGGGAGAATCCAAGTCAGGCTCCAATCCTTGGTCTGTGCAGGGGCAGTGAAAACCTGGTAGAGGTTACAAAATGCTCCCGAGGTCAGTGTGAGGATCAGGACCCAGTATCATCAACCTCATCTTCCTACTGTCCTGCGATGTGTCTGTTCAGGTAGGCACTCTAGGGGAGGTTAATGCTAAGTGCGGTCCCTGCCACTGAGGGTACACTGCCCATTCAGCCAGTTGGGAAACACTGAGCATCTCCTCTAAGTCAGGCCTGATAGGCAACATGTGGTTTCTATCCTCAGACTGCAGACAGAGGAAGGTCCAATGTTCAGCCTTCCTGAGACTATGAGTTCCTTAGAAACCTTAGCAGAGGAAAGTTCAGGAGGGTCCTGCTGGACCTATCTCTCCCCCACATCTCTAACTGGATCTCCTACACCACTATGGAGCCTACCTTCCTCCCCTATGATCATCAGAACACCTGGGAAAGCATAGTACCTGAATTCAGAGGTCCTTGCTAGGCAGGTGACATTGGCTAAGCCAGCCTGAGCTTCCTGGATTCCAGACGTGTACCTTCCTTCCCTTTTTCCTGGTGAGTTCCTCTTCAGTTCCCACACCCAGCCACAATTCTATTTCCACTGTTCTTCCCTTTAGCCTGCCTTCACTGTCCACTAGAACACACCAGGTACCAAACGTTCTTTCCACTGCTGCCTCCTTGCACATGCTTCTCCCTCAGCATGGCAAGTCCTATCCTCTATTTCTTCACTTGGCAAATACACTCATCCTTCCCCACCCAGTTCAATGTATTTCTCCAGACTACTTGTCATTTTGGTGGCAAGGACTTCCCAAAACTGCTTTTAGTCACAGAGGTTCACTTATTTAGTCAACAAAGAGACATGACATAGCTACTCTGCATCAGCCCCTGTTCTAAGCACCAGGGGTTCAATGGTATAAAAAGCAGAATCCCTGCCCACAATCTCACTGACTTCAGTGGAGGTTAGTACCCTGAAGGAACATGCAGTGTAAGAGAACAGAGTGGTGGGAGGCATGCAGGATAGCACAGGCCCAGGCCAGGCGGGAGGCAGGAAGATGGGAAGGCCTGGGGCAGATCCCAGGTCATGCAGCCTTTCCAGGAAGACCTTTGGATTTATTTGGATTGTGACAGGAAGGGTGCGGAGTAGGAAACAGTATGACCTGATCCTTGATTGCTGCCACTGGAAGATCTGGCAGGGGGTAGGGAGGAAGTGGAAAGCCACGTGAGAAGTTGTTGCACTTGCTGTCAGGGTGAGAAGTGGTCAGCTTCTCGATGTCTTCTGAATGTCGCTAGCAGGCGTTTCTGTTGGGCTAGCTTGAGATGCATCCAGGATTAGTGGCTTACTAATGCAAGAGTGTTGCTGCTCTTTTCTGACATGGGAAGGTGATGGGAGGATAAATCAGAACCATTTTTCAGGAGGCTCCTGGTAGGTTTTATGTGGAGGGATGTCTAGGGTTGAAGGCCAGACAGTAGCAGAGCTAGACTTCTCGGTGCCACAAAAGCACTGGTAACTAGGCAAGGTTAGAGCTGAGGCTTCCCTCAAGCAGGGAAGCATCTGAAGAGTTGTCCCAGCATAAATGAGCTGTAAGAGGAAAGCTGGGGGTCACACAGGTAGAAGGAGCAGCACGAGCAAAGCTCGTGGTAGGAGTTACTAGATGCAAGCTTGCTACATGCCAGCCTCCATGCTGGATGCTTTTTCTGCTCTGCCATCCAGACCCCTGTAGCAAGCTGGTGAGCATGGGGCAATTTTTCTACTTTACAGAAGAAAGCAGATTTCAAAGGTCAAATAATGTACCTTAGAGACACAAATAGTGAGCATGGGGGCAGGGTTGTTATAGAACATGGCTCTGCATGGGATTTGAACCCAGGAGTCCGAGTTAAAAGGTGGTATCCTGGGAGCCTCCCTGGTGGTGCAGTGGTTAAAGTCAGCACTGTCAGGCTATTGCTGGCTGCTGCCACAGGAATTCAATTCCCAGGCAGGGGGGTGACCCATATGGCACAGCAGACTTCTCCTGTCTTGTCCTTTACTCCCGTCAGCAGTATACTTCATCGATCTGCCTGTTTTGCTCCCCACTGTCTCTGGTGAAGCCTCTCACCTATCCCACCTCCCACCTCTGGCCTGCACCTCAGTTCTTGTATGCATAAATAAAAAAAAAAAACCTTTAAAAAATATAGAGTAGGCCCTCTCTGGTGGCGCAGCGGGTTAAAGCACAGCACTAAGAAGCTAAAGCCACTTCCGCATGAGTTTGATTCCCACTTGCCC